TTAGGCATGAATAGGTAGTGTTTTATATTTACTGCCGCTTCCGTCCAGATTCCGTGACGTAATCTACTGCTGCGTTTGCTCATTGGATCAAACTGAACTTCCGGACGAATCCGGTTTCCGGGACGAATACGGGAGTGACACTGCACCCAGTACACTTAGCACCAGCCCCTCACTGATCCTCCTGCAGGTGGTGAGTCCACAGGAGCTGAGATCTTTCAGTTGGGGCTTCTATAATTCAATTAGGCCTAAATCATGGATCTATTATGGCCTAAACTCATCAGTAGCTTTTTAGTAGGTCACTTTGGACTTTTAAGCTTTATTTATTTACCGCCTTTCACAGACCAGAGTCACAAAGCGGTTTACAATTGTTATTTTTTGGGCACTTGTCCTCTCACTCCACACAGAGATGGGAGCGGGGTCGCCGAACAGGAGGCGCATGCCAGACCTATTGTACATATTTTTAGTGGTAGGGGAAACCGGAGTACCCGGAGGAAACCTACGCAGGCACGGGGAGAACATGCAAACTCCACTCAGAAAGGCCCTGGTCCGGCCGGGATTCGAACCCAGGACCTTCTTGCTGAGAGGCGAGAGTGCTATCCACTCACCATGCCACGCCCATCATGAATGGGTCTTTTCACCTGGGAGCTGAGAGCTGCTCGCTCTCTCCTGCACTGCTGTCTTGTTTGGTCCTGCCCTGGTGCTCATTCCTTATTTGCACATTTGAGTTTGTCTTTTGTTTTATGCACCACATTCACTGCACACCACACACAGGCTTCCATTACACTCATACACCTGCACCACACTACTGATTAATACATGCTCACATCCCATACCTTGGTTTTTGTTCATGTTGTACTCTTTTTGTTATCATTAAATACATTTTTAGCACTATTTACCCCCGTCTCGCCTCACTATTTGTTATGGCTCTGAGTCGGCCGTAAAAAATATATATATATATATATATATATATATATATATATATATATTATATATTACACACACACACACACAGTACAGACCAAAAGTTTGGACACACTTTCTCATTCCCTTTCTTTTCATGACTATTGACTGTAGATTCACACCAGGCTGTGTAAGGGCTATTTGACCAATAAGGAGAGTGATGGGTGCTGGGCCAGTAGACCTGCCCTCCACAGTCACCGGACCTGAACCCAATCCAGATGGTTTTGGACCTGAACCCAATCCAAATCTACAATTTTCATAGTCATGAAAATAAACTCTTTGAATGAGCAGATGTGTCCAAACGTTTGGTCTGTACTATATATACTGTATATATACATTAATGTACATATCATGTAAGTATCATAAGCATTGCATCGGTGATGGGTGCTTTGGTTATAGTGGGTAGGCCCACTATAACTATATATTTTGTTTGATTGATATAAAACAAATAAACTCTTGAATTGAATTGAAAATTGTGAATGGTCTTGCTGTCTTGAGGAAAAGCGCCAGCCTAATTATGTAACTGTGTCCCTGAGTTCATCCCGGTACATGGCAGAGCTGCAGATTAGACGTGTCATTTTAGCATTAGTGTCCAAGCAGGAAACACTGGGGATCGGAGGTCACGGTAGTGCGTCATACTACAAATGTGTGACGCACAAGTACAGTAGTGGTTAAAGGCAATGGGAAGTAAGGTATACCGTGTGTCCCACTTCTTAAGCTTTAATCTCTGCCCCAGAGACAGCCAGCAGAAGGATGAAGGCGTTTAAACAAATACACAAAGCTGGCTTCTTAGGCCGCTGCTGCTGCTGGTGTCGCTTTAAATGTGCCTGATTGCCTGTTCATCACAACAAGTGAACACATTGATTTGTTGTTGCGGTTACTTTAACTTCATTACTCTTTCAATGGTGACCTCTTTCGTTGGTTAATGCATTTAGTGTTTTATAAAACACACTGGAACCACACTTTAAACTTAATGTATTCTCGGTTTTCAGTGTAGACCCTGGTTCCACAAACTGACAGACAAGTTTTGATCGTGCAAGACTTAAGTAAACACTGAAGAGTCTTCTGATGATCTCTTTGTGAAACTGAATTGACTCGTAACAAAAAAAATCAATATATAATGTGTAATATTTAGTTAATTTACCTCCTATAGCAGGTAGAGTCTACAATAACCATTCATCTCAAGAGGAGAGATTGAACCTGCATTTCAGTATATTTTCTTGTAAGCTCAAAGGTTATTGACTGATATTTTGGAATGTGTGGATTTTCTGTAGCATCAAAATGGTCTGATTATTGCGAAACAAACATAATGTAATCAAGTGCCACAATCCTCGACCCCTCAATAAAATGTATTTTAGTGCTGTGATCTTCAAAGGAAATGAGGTTATAAAATGTAAATCTATGTAAGCCTGGTATTTGATATTGTCTTGGGAATTGGACCAAATCAAGACCTGATTCTTCTTGTTGGTGTTATTGGAAAACACGGAAAGGTCTGTTGAAATTTGCTGTAGTTTTCCCAAGCTCTCTTGGGGATGAGCGATAAAGACAGATTAATAAGAAGGCACAGCTTTTACTGTATTGTGCAAAATTCACAACTCGATCCTCTTGATTTAAATCAGCTTAAACCCCAGACCTGTAATGATAAATGAATGTATCCCGACTAGTTTCAACAATCAACAACGATGAATCATTAACTGCTGTGTATAGGCTTTAAATATATATATATATATATATATATATATATATATATATATATATATATATACAGTACAGTACATTTTGTACCAGACTGTAAGCTGCTTTTTGCCCTACTGAACGCCTTGAAGAGGTCTGTCGTCACCCGACTGAAGACTTCTCAGGTCATAGGACATGGCCCGGCTTACTTATCCAGGGTTTTAGATTTAGCATGTGTTCATGTTGAAATACATGCATCTATTATCATTTACTGGGTTTAATGGTTTATCATCATTAGGGGCGACAGTAGCTCAGTTGGTAGAGCATTGGCCTTAAGCCCAGAAGGTCGTGGGTTCAATTCCCACCTTCTCCACTGACTCCCACTGATGACTGCTGTCGTTATGTCCTTGGGCAAGACACTTAACCCCACTTTGCCCAAAGCTCCCACTGAAAGATCAAGGCTATGCTCACACTCAGAGAGCAGCCGTCCTCCTGTGGACTCACCACCTGCAGAGGGTCAGTGAGGGGCTGGTGCTATGAGACTTGGGTGGCATCTCTGACTGCCACCCCCCTGACCCAGAAATGGATTAAAGGGTAGAAGATGGATGAATGGTTTATCATAATAAACAAAAATCAAATGTCATATCTTTGTGGCCATAGTGTTGAAACTGGAAAATGAATGAATTAATCTATATTCAGAATTAATTATGTGTAATTCGAGTCACTAAACAGATGAACTATGTGTCTAACAATGATGGAGAGTGTCTGATTTCACTGAAACATCAAACGATGGTTGAGTCTCTGCAGCCCAGCTTGCCTGCATACAAGATCAGCATAAGTGGGGAGTGCAGTAATTCAATTACCGGAATAAGGCCATGAGCGGTTGTCTCTTAGTCCAAGGCATTTGAAGTGCTTACTTGACCTGCTCCAGATGGACTGAAATGATGCTCTTTACAGTTACCATGATCTGCCATTCAGACATTGCACCATTTAAAGTAACTCAGAGGACATTACAATAATGTCAGGAGTTTGCAGAGGATTGTTAAATTAAATTAAATACTACAATAATGCTAATATAATATTACTAATAAACTCTTTCCCATAAAAAACTATGATGAAGAAGTCAGGTCTATCCTCTTTGCAGTCTTCAATACACACACACACACACATATATATATATATATATATATATATATATATATATATATATATATATATATATATATATATATATATATATATATATATATATATATATATATATATATATATATATATATATGTTGTGAATTTAGGATAAATGCAAGCAATTAACACTACACATCCACACATTCATTGCTCTTGCTTCTAATGGTTTCAGCTAGACTTAACTTTTCCAACTAAGAACACTAAGCTGCTTGAAAGGTTAAGAGCCCAGCTTGTCTAGTTTATGAACTGAACTGCTGAAAAAACAGGATCAAAATCTACAGGTGAAACTCCAACCATTTGTAATTCAACTGTTTTAAACTAAACTAAAATCTGACAGACTCATTGCATGCAGTGAGATATGTAAATTATTTTGTTGTTATAATGTTGATTATTTGGCTCAGAGCTGTATAAACCATGAAACTTGTGAAAATAGAATATTTTTGAAAATGGATCAAAATTCAATCAAAGTTATAACAAGGCTTGACATATGTCACTTTGCATGAGTCTATATCATATTTTGGTTTCACATTTGAAGTTGCATTACAAAAATAAACTAACTTTTCTTTTGTGTGTATGTATGAATTTAAAACTCTCAATAATCAAGCAAGAAAAAAAATAAGTGGAGAATGGCGGGATGAAAAATATGTATAGAATCTCATATACACGATACCTGTGCCCCCCCCCCATTATATTGATGATCTGTATTTAACAACAGTATAACAGCACGTATATGTACTCTTAAAGAAAGATGTAATGTCTGAGACAAATGCTCCTTATTTGAGATTGCACTGACTCTTTTGTCCTGATAACAATAAACTTCTGAATGCGTGTGCTTCATTAGGGCAGACCTCCTCCTGTGGCCATGAAGGAAACCAACATTTAAAACAATCACTTGCCCAAAGCAGATGCCAATCACTCTTAAAGGGGAAGGATTCCAATTAATAAACCGCTCCTAATCCTCTCGTTTCTCTTGCTGTTGGCACACACCTCCAGCTCACTCCTCTTTCACTCAGCGTTCAACGTGCAGTGGGCAGAAGTTGGGTCCGGCCACTTGCTCTGTTTCTGGACTTTTTCTGGAAAGAATTTCAACTTTTTTCAAGACATTTGGGAGATGCAGTTTTTGAAAGGCATCATTTGCCAGATAAGTGGGAGTCTGTAGTTGCAGTTTGGGATTTTAGCAACGCTTACACACTCCTTATTACTAAACTCAACGGTATGTTATCATTTCATTTCACATACTCTAATGGGTAGCTTTTCATTTGACTTTTCTGCTCTTAAAACTTGAATGTTCTAGTTATAGTGGTTTAATTTTGCACCAAGTCCTATTAACTTTTTTTGCCCACACGGTTCAATCTTGAAATGGGATTGTGCGTAAAAGGGTTTGTCCCTCATTTTCCTTTTATTGGGCCAACTGTTCTGAACTTGTCAATAGAGGATGACAAATGTAAAATCTAATAATGAAGCCCCCTGTCTGAGGAGGAGCAGGTTCAGTACAGGCAATAGCTGTAGTTGGCTCTTAGGTGTTGAGCTCTGACTTCTATCTTCACAGATTTCTGCAAACGCCTGGATGCATTTATCACTGGATACTATGAGCATGGTGGGCGACAGCTGCCTTTCACCAACAAACTTCCACGATTTGGGGAAGAGCGTTGGCAGTTTGGGTACAGGGCATGTCCATAGCATCGACGTCATCCTGGGCTTCAGTAAAGAGCACGAGGACCTACTCAGTCCTTCTGTGGGGTCAGGACCTCAGCGTGTGGAGATGGACACTCTGGTGGAGTCCGGAAAACAGCAGGAGTCTCACCCCACATTCAGCGGTCACCTGTCCACTCTGAGGAGCAGCAGCACTGAACAGCAATACAGTGGTAAGAAAACTATGTGGATATTAAACAGAATATTTATCTACATCAAATCCACTTCTTTAATGCAGTTCTATCAACCACCTTCTTAAGAAATGAGTTAGCACAGGCTTTTCATTTTAATTATCTCCAGATGACTGCACTGTTCTCTATAGCTCTAGTTGTGAACATTTTGAGCTTTGATGGAGATAGAACACGTTGGTGTAGGGGCTTATGCCCATGTCCAATCCCATCCCCTGGTGGAATTTCCCTAATCTGCACAGATTAGATTGTAAAATCTTCATTCTTGTGTTATTTTTTTTTTTATCACAGATTTGTCCATGAGACAAATGTGAGGCATGGACAAATGTGTGGCACTTAATCTATTAGGCATCAAAGTACCGGTTGGTAGTAGTATTGCTAAGATTCATGAATGACTTCAGGACACCTCCTATACAGCAACCTGGTTTCCTGCAAACATCTCCTTACAAACATATTGTTATTAGTCATCCCACCCCTCAAGACAAGTTTTGTCTTTCCATATGGAATTTCTGAAAAAAAACACTGACTCCTAAAGGGCTAATAAGTATTGTGTCTATATTTTGTTACCCTTGAAAAAGAGATTTCGAACTTAATGGGTATTAAGTAAATTATCGGACAGGTGGTTGATGATTTTGGCAACATTGAATTGAATTTTGATTTGAAGCACCAGATAATTAAGGTGCATGTGTGTATGGGTGCATTTGTTTTCAGTTGGATGCTCATCACACCAATGACATCAGCGCTCTTTTGTGTAGAAGTACCCTGTGAAGTTAGCCCAGTTCTCCCTCAGTGAACAGGTCCTGTGTGTCGCCTCTGTCCCCTGGAGATGCTCTGCTCATAAACAGTGGGTAGCCTCAGTCTGGTGCCTGTGATGGGCTGACAGGCCGAAGCCTGGGCACTGAACCAGACCTGACCTCTGGCTTTGTAGGAGCGTGGCCTTTGTCATGGCTCCTTAATGAGAGGTAGATAAATGAGCTGCTTGCCGACTCAGCCTCTGTTTGTTACTTAGAAAGCCCGATGACCCCTGCTTTGTCCCTCTTCACACACCACAAAGTGGGTCCTATTAGATTTTGTTGTTTTTTCCGTCCAATATTATACAATATTGTATTCAATATGTTTTACTCCTTAAAGTAACCAGATTGAAGTTGGCATTTTTCTATGCAAGTCGGGTGTCTGAAAATTCAACTTGCACGACAGAGGAAATAAAAATGCTTTTGTTTGCGAGTGGGCCTTTGAATTACCTTTGAATTAGCCCGTTTGGAACTGAATTATGTTCACTTAACAACTAAAAACTTGATGCATCTGTTTTTTTTCTGTACAGAATCCAGTTTGTTCACAAACAAGTGTGATGAAGAACTAAATGAACTTAGGAAAAGTGTTGAGAGTGATGAAAGCAAATCACCAGAGTCCTGTAAAGATGATCACCCTAAAAAGAAGCATAGGCGAAACCGCACTACGTTCACAACCTACCAGCTTCATGAGCTGGAGCGCGCCTTTGAGAAGTCCCACTATCCAGACGTGTACAGCCGAGAAGAGCTGGCCATGAAAGTCAATCTCCCCGAAGTGCGTGTTCAGGCAAGTATCACAACAACAGCTTCAAACTAAGTTAGGGTGCCTCCATATTTAGCTTGTCCTAATGATAATTGTATATCTCTCCAGGTGTGGTTCCAAAATCGCAGGGCTAAATGGCGCAGACAAGAGAAAATGGACGCCACCACCATGAAGCTTCATGATGCTCATATGCTGTCGTTGAACCGTCCCACACCTATGCATACCAGCATGAGCACTATCACAAACTCTCTCCCCCTGGACCCATGGATGACTTCTCCTCTATCCAGTGCAACTCCTGTTCACAGCATACCTGGATTTATGGGCCCGCCTCAGAACCTCCAGCCCAACTACAGCAGCCACAGCTTTATCAACTCCAGCCCACACCACGCTCACTCACACCTGCACCCATCTATGGCCCAAGGGATGCAGAACATGGCACCGCCCCCTTATCAATGCCCTGCACAATACTCAGACAAATACCCTCTGGAGGATGTAGATCAGCGCAGCTCTAGTATTGCTGTTCTAAGAATGAAAGCAAAGGAGCACATTCAGTCCATGGACAAAACCTGGCATCCCATGTGATAACCAAGATGGCAACATGCGATTGGCAGCTGAAATGCATGAACAACGAACAAACTAACTATATTCATATTCATGGCAGTTTCTGTACCTAACACTGCTGCCGGTTATGCTTATGGTGACTGCAGATGAAATACTGAAAGTTTTTTTTTTTTTTTTTTTACATTTTAGGTGCAATCTTTTTTCCACGTTAAGTGATTAAAGTTGTGTTTAAGAACACATGATGCCAATATTACTCCAATTGCTGAAGTGATGAAGTAATGTTTCATTCATTATCAATATTAAATTAAATGTATTATTATTTTTTGCACCTTTAACTTGAATTCAGGAGATACCAAAAAATGTGAAGCTGTAATGATAAATCTTTGTGTTTTTGTTTATTATTTTTTATGAAGAATTGATTTTCAAAAATTGAGCGGAACAAACACCAAAATGAAGGGTGGAAGTGAATGGGTGAGCTGAGCTGAGAGGCCAGTGCATGTTGTAAGTCTTAGTGTAAGACGTAAGCCTTTGTGCTTGAGTGATGCTGGAGATGGTAAACCTGGTGGCAGCTTGGGAATGGGCGGTGTGGGGACGTGGCGAGCAGCAGAAAGACCCTCTGTGATCTGGGACCCCATATTGTTTATTCTTTGTTCAGCACAATTGATCCAAGTGCATCCCCTTTGTGCAGGCAACGGTCTCATGCGGCACTAACAGTCTTGTTTAGATTTTAAAGAGGACACTTGTCTTGTTCATCTTTGTTATATTTCTTACAGTTAGTCATTGCCTGTCATTATGCAGATTTCATTTATTTCAAAACAAAACTCACAGTGATTATGTTTTTTTACACAATGTGCAATTACATTTTTTCATGCAATCTAAAATGGCTAATGACTTTCCAGTCCTCATGATGCAACCTTGTGGCCAATCACATCTTCAACAGTGGAGCAGAATGAGCCAAAGATTAGATACCAGGCAACATTGGACATTAAAGATGTTTTTTTAATGCAACAATATACTAGAAGTTTTTGTATTTTTGTGTGTTTTTCTGTTTTATTTTTATTGAAATGCAAAGTTTTGTCAAGTAAATAAATATCATAGACTGTAAATAAATATAGTTTATTAGATCATGTATTTATATATATTTTTTACCCCTAACATTCCGATTTCAAATGTTTTCTCAATAAGCAAATAGAGTCATTAGTACAGTAGTTGGTGTCATCAAACATTTCTTTCTTTTTGACTTAACAGTGTTGCCCTATCTCTCACCTTGTCATACAGGAGCAGCTTTTCTCCTTCACCCCTCCTTTCTTCCCCCAGAGCTTGGGCTTCCATGGCAGTGTGCCAGCCTGTTAGGAAGATGAGACTCCAATCAATCAGAGCGTTCCAGGGGGGACTCTCTCCAACATGCCCCCACTCCCTAATTGGTCCTGGACCGACTATTTGACCGGCCACTCAAACACATGTTCATGCCGGGGCAGGGGCTTTTGCTATATATATATATATATATATATATATATATATATATAATTTATTTTTTACCTGTATACATACATGTTTTTATTATACATGTATGTATACATGTATACATACATGTATACATACATGTATGTATACATGTTTTAATAACGTTTCATTCATTGTAGATGTATATATATATATATATATATATATATATATATATATATATATATATATATATATATATATATAATTGTAAGGATGAAAGTGTGTGAAAAGAAAGTGAAGGGAGGAATGGATGCTCATTGGAGTTAATGATGCAGAAAATCCCCCAATTACAACATTTTCCTGTGTTGCAGGATGAGTTCAGAGTGAAGCTCTTGACAACCCAAGGATTAGAGACTCAGACCAAAGAGACACACACTGATCGCTGGACATTTTGGCACCATGGTGCTGCTGTACACAGTTGGGAGCATACAACTTCCATTCTGTGAGGGAACCAAAGTCATTCGAAAAACAGCAGTTCATGTGTACATGTACAGTAGGTATGAACAATATTACCACATAAGATCTTGTATTCATTTGATCTTGCTCAAATGAATTGCCCCTGGTGGGATAAATAAAGTTGTCTGAATCTTGTTATTAATGAAACATTAGTTTTGTGGTATCATACTTAAGGTTGACCATGCATGTGCTGATTTGACAACTTTATTCCCAATGAGTCCTGACATCTAGATTGTGAGATAAATCAATATTTTCCAAACACAGTATATGATGTAAAAGGGTAGTCACATGCTAACACAGATGTCTTATGCAGGGTGTAGGGTGCATATAGGGCAATTACACATCAGAAACATATTTGGTTCTCAGTGCTATGAGCTCTGTGTTTATGCAGTGTTTTTGAATAAGCAAACATTACTGAAAAAACCCATAAATTGCTTATTCAAATGATCAATTGCTCATTTAGGGACGTTCATCGTTAAAAGGAAACAAGTGTGTCTCTAGCTGTAGATAATGAAGAGGTGTCACCCCAGAGGTCACTTCAGGAGACGGGTCAGGAAACGGCGCCAGACGTATGTGGCTCTGTCAATCGGAAATGATGTGCTTCCCTTTTATTTGTCTGTCCGTTTTCTGCTCCGCTCAATATTAGAATAAAGGCACGTCTCTATTTGAGGCACAGCTTAGGCCGACTTTTGGACAAACACAAAGCAATCATCACTTGTCCCTGACCACACATACAATCTTGTTATAACTACAACTAATCTGGACCAGGTATGCTGTTCACCAAATATGAAGGCATTGTAGGCTCGCCTTTACATTTACATTAGAGACGGCATTTTAAAAGTGAGTTTGTGTTGCATAAATGTATACTAGTAAATCATAAATTCAGAGGACCTAATCAAAAAATCAAATCATTTGTTTAGAATTGTTCATGGCGTTGCTTTCTGAAACCCATGCAAGCAAATAAGGGAGACTGGAAAATGAAATTAAAATAGAAAAAAAAAGAGCATCTACAATATGTATCGCTAAATTATTTTTTGCTGACATACAACTGAGTGGTTACTCCATTTTAACCCTTTAATGGCTTCTTCAACCATCTGGTAGATCATGCTTTGAACTGAAATATACTTTTGTGGGGCACTTTTAGAATCAAACTGCATCTCAATCATTTGGCAAAAGCCTATAATAAAAAAAATAGGTGTTCAAAAAAAAAGGAGTGAACATTAAAGGGTTAACAACTTTACTTCTGCTAAAACATATCCTTAATCAGTCTTCATTATTGGTGACAGTGTGAACTCTGATTGTTTTGTACACAAGGTTGTCTTTAGCACTTGAAAACCTGATATGCAATTACAATTTTACTTCCATGAAACTGTGTTGTGAATAGATCCATGGTTGGAGGCGCATTTGATGAGCTGACCAAAGAATAACCTAACACACAGCGCCACCTGTCGATTTTGAACGTGAATTGCAAAAGACTGCGCTCGTCAACAAATCCATCAGCCACGGTTTGCCTGTCAGTGGCGTATGTCAAAGAAATACAGCAGAACACCTCAATACTAATCATTACTCTCTACAATGCGCTTGATAAACGAAAGCCCTTTAATTATGGTTTTTTTTCATATTCATTATTATCTCCTCACCCTGAGCCAGACTCACCGTGTTTAAGGTTTTGGATTTGATGTAATCATAACATAGAAATAATACAGCTAAATGAATTATATGACATGTAAACAAGTAAAATGATCAGACTTCCCATAATGCTCGGGTCCAGGCTCAGCTGAACTGCGGCTGCGCATTCCTCCAACTTCAACCTGAAAAGCCTTAATATAACAGATTGTTTCAGCCTGATTTAAGTGTTCTTCCGCCCAGTCCACCTCTGCTCGTCTCTGCTGCTGTTTGGGTCCTGCTCCTGGTCGTAGGTAAGCTGTCAGCTGATAAATATGATATGATTAGTCTGTAGCTTGGGATGCTAACCCAGCGTTTGACCCAGCGTTTGGCACAGGTTTGGCACAGGTTTGGCACAGGTTTGGCACAGGTTTTGGCACAGGTTTGGCACAGGTTTGGCACAGGTTTGGCACAGGTTTGGCACAGGTTTGGCACAGGTTTGGCACAGGTTTGGCACAGGTTTGGCACAGGTTTGGCACAGGTTTGGCACAGGTTTGGCACAGGTTTGGCGATATATTGAAGAGTATTAAGAGTCAATATAAACGTGACTCAAGACATTTAAGGCCATTTTAGGACCAGGTCGACCCTCAACTGTCTCATAGTTTAATTAACATAAAGTCAAATTCAATAAACAATAGGAACTTCTTTATACATTCTTCATGAAGGATATTTTCATGATGGACTTTCAATGTGTTTTTGTTATTATTAACCTATACACTAGATTATTGTCACTAATCACTGTCACTCTTCCTTCCCCCTGTTAGAATAATTGTGTGTTAGTTAAACAATGGACCCAGAGTATGAGCATCGTCTCCTTCGTCAGATCAACATCCACAATGACAACTTGAGTCCAGAGGTAAGATATTATGCTTTTCTATATTTTGCGAATCATATTTTTTGGTTGCTATACAAAGTCATGCATTTTCAAAATTGTCAAATGCACTGCTTGCAGGAATCTCGGACACCAAGATGTTCCTCTTTAACATCGCCAATTAAACTTGGAGACAGATTCATTCCCACCCGAGCAGGAGCCAAATGGAATATACATTTTCACAAAATCAATGTATGAAAATCAATGCAAAATGTTTTAAGTATTTTAGTTTTATTTGTGTACATTGATGAGAATCTCAACATCATTTGCAATATAATTTTAGGAAAACGAGAAGACTCAAAATCTGAATAAAAAAGCAAAGGAAGCCTCTTCGGATACTAACAAAGGTAATTATATTTGCTAATTTAATAAGGTCAGTATTAAGGCTGCAAGAGTGATCACAATCTATTAGGTTGCATCTATATAATGTTTCAAATAGTGATGGAGGGCAGTTACTAATCTTTACTGGTAACTATGGTAAGTGTCAGACTAGTCTTAAGGTATAGTTAATTTTTCTGTAAGTCCTGGGCCAATCCAAAAAACAACAACAATCCACTCCTTCTGTTATTCTCATCAATGTCAATGTCAATGTATGCAGTGAACAAACTCCATTTTTTTTCTTACTAAAACTAGCTAACATGTCTCTCTTCATTAAAGCTCTAGTCTAGTTTATGACTTTGGTTTGACTGTGATGACAACTAAACACATTTGTTTTGGGCTGACAGCAGATGGGCTGGCGTACTCTGCTTTACTGAGGAATGAGTTATTAGGAGCTGGTATAGAAAAAATCTATGACCCTCAAACAGAAGATCGACGTTTACAACCAGCAACAACTGAAAAGAGAAGTATTTTCAATGTACACACTTTTTGTAACGCACGGTTATAAGAAACAAAAACACTTTTTACCACCTATAATGGTTTTTATCTCCACTTCTTTTTCAGTACACGTTAAATACTAGAAGATCACCATCGGATAATGGCTCCAACATTTCACCATATTCTCTATCACCAGTTTCAAATAAAAGGTACGTGGGTTGTACATTATTTGTGATTATAATAAAGTCTTATGTTTGCGGTAATATTTATTTTACAGTCAGAAATTGCTGCGTTCTCCCAGGAAGCCATCCCGTAAGATTTCCAAAATTCCCTTTAAAGTCTTGGATGCTCCAGAGCTTCAAGACGACTTTTATTTAAACTTGGTTGATTGGTCATCACTCAATGTCCTAAGTGTTGGTTTGGGCACTTGTGTTTACCTTTGGAGTGCATGCACCAGTCAGGTATTTGCTCTTTCCATTTAATGTTTTCTTCAAAAACATAAAAAAAAATATATATTTCATGAGCATCTGTTTATCAGGTTACAAGACTGTGTGATCTATCTTTGGAGGGGGATTCTGTCACATCTGTTGGGTGGTCTGAAAGGGTGAGCATTTGTGATCCATAAAAATGTATATTAAATCATCAATTCCTTGATCATTTTCTGTAATTCTAGGGTAATTTGGTGGCTGTGGGGACTCACAAAGGCTATGTTCAAATCTGGGATTCAGGTGCTGGAAAAAAGCTATTTACCTTAGAAGGACATACAGCCAGAGTTGGTGAGAAGAACACAATATTTTGATTGATATGTATTTATTTGTGTTTAATTAATGAGATATAAAAACAAACCTGCAGGAGCACTAGCTTGGAATGCAGATCAATTGTCTTCAGGAAGCCGCGACCGTATGATTCTTCAGAGAGACTTGCGAACTCCTCCTCTTCAGTCAGAGAGGCAGCTGCAGGGCCACCGACAAGAAGTGTGTGGTTTAAAATGGAGCACAGACCATCAGCTGCTTGCCTCCGGAGGCAATGATAATAAGGTGCATATTATTTTCACTTATTTTTGCTATGTCATCTTCTTGTTACATGGCTTGTCTCTTTGTCAGTTGCTAATTTGGAACAATTCGGCGTTGAGCCCGGTGCAGACGTACATGGACCACCTGGCTGCAGTGAAGGCCATTGCTTGGTCCCCTCATCAACACGGTCTGTTGGCGTCTGGAGGAGGCACCGCTGACCGCTGCATCCGCTTTTGGAACACTTTGACCTCGCAGCCTCTGCAGTGCATGGACACTGGGTCCCAAGTGTGCAACCTGGCCTGGTCAAAGCATGCTAATGAGCTGGTACGTCACCATTGTAGAACATGTATTTTCTGCATGTATGTTTTTGCGGCAACAAAATTACAATTTCAGAATCAATATTTTACGGTTTCACAAAATTGCTCATTGTCACAGGTTGGGCTGAAGCTTAGTTGTGACCAATCTTTATTTTATTATCACCAGGACCGGCAGTATTTAAGAATTCACATTTAAATACAGTATATATATTAAGATATTATTACGCCTCTATAGTTGTGCAAAAACGTAAAGACTAGAAACCAAAGAGACCGCTAACCCAAGTCTCAGCAATCTGCTCTGTTTGATACTGTTCACCGAACAGACTTAGTGGAGGCTCCACCACCTGTTTGTTGATCCATGTTATAACTTTATTGAAATGGCCACAACGTGATTATTAAATAAATTATATATTTTTATCTAGATATGACAGACAGAAAAGCTACCCTGAGTCTGGGATCGTGTCTTTTAATTCAGACAGAAGACATGTTTTATTGTTGATGGTAGACAGCAAAAACAAGAGCACGAACAAGGGATGTTACAGACAGCAAGTGATAATATACTCAGGAGAAACAGAGACCTCCAATCAGCAGCTGCCACAGTGCCATGTAGCTTGGCCTTCAGATAGACAAACCATCAAGTGGAAAACTACTGGCTTCTGCATATGGAAGAATAATGACTTAGAACTTTAACCATAGTTGCTTCAAAGTGTTATGAAATCTCACACTACAGAAGTAACTTTACATTACCTTTTTATGTTGCACCATAGCAAGCTGAAATTTTAATCTGGATGCTTCAAAACAGGATAACTTTTATTAATTACATTAACTTTCAGGTGAGCACCCATGGCTATTCTCAGAACCAGATCCTAGTGTGGAAGTATCCTGCCCTCACACAAGTGGCCAAACTGACGGGACACTCGTACCGTGTTTTGTACCTGGTTTGTTCCACCTCAAAACATTTCATTGTGCAGACTCTAGGGTGGTTTTTTTTTTGTATTTATAATAGTAAAACATTTCATAGGCAATGTCTCCTGATGGTGAGGCAGTCGTGACAGGAGCTGGAGATGAGACACTTCGTTTTTGGAATGTATTTAGTAAAACAAGATCAACAAAGGTAAGATTTGATATCGACTTCCATTTGGATGTCTTTTCAAAACATACATTTAATTGTTTCCCTTTTTCTCAGGAGTCTGTGTCTGTTTTGAATCTTTTCACAAGAATACGGTGACTAATGACAAGCCTGCCACAGAGGTCATCCACATGGTGCTAAGAGTACAATGGTGAAATTGTCTTCAAAGACTTGGCTCATGAGACGCGTTCATGATTATTTTAATGTAATTAGGTTTTACAGTTTTTTTAAACACTTTATACTTCCATTCATATTTTCAACATGGAAAACCATGATATGGGTTTAAAAGCTGCTCTTTATATTGTGCATTATTATGTTCAACTCAGGACTTATTTAAGAATATTTATATGCATTGCATTTTGTGGACATTCATTGATTTAAACTGCAGAATTACTGGTGAAAATTAAGTTAAATCCAAGTGATGCGGTGCATCTGGACTTGTACTTTTGATTGAATCTTTGTTGTTACAAACAAATGTTTGTTCTAAAATAGTTCTTTGTATGATTTACTTTTTTGGTGTTGTTACAATTTACACAATGGATTATAGTGTTCAAAGAGAATGTTTTAGTTCTAAATGATTTATTCAATATCAATCAATCAATCAAATTTTATTTATAAAGCGCTTTTCATACAAAAAGTGTAACACAAAGTGCTTTACAGTTTAGTTAAAAACAATCCAACATGCCCAGCCCTAAACCCTCCTCCCCACAGACCCCCCAAAATCACATTTATAATTATATATACAATACACACACACACACACACACACATATACACAAGTATAAAGTCATATCAGGTAAAATAGGTAAAACAATAAAAAGAAATGGGGCTGGGAGCAGATGTAACCGGCTGAAGAAGCGTCATCCAAGGAGCCATCTGCACCAGGAGCAGAGAGCCGGCTGCAGCCACAGGCAACGACACAGGACCCAGAGGAGAGAGGGGCCCCAGACCCCACCAGGCCCAGGACTCAGACCCCATAGGACCCAGAGGAGAGAGGAGGCCCCAGACCCCCACCGGATCCAAGAGCCAGTCCCCCGAAGCCACAGCAGACCCCAGCTCTCAGTGCAGAGGGCTCCTCCAGAGGAAACACTGGGGACACTAAAACAATACAATAATACAATAGAAAGTAGAACAATAGAATGTGAAAATAAAAAGAAAAATGGCAGCTGCCTAATATAATAACAATAGTAAATGGGTAGATACAATAAATAATTAAAAATAGCAAATAATAAAAATAAATAAAAATAAAATCCGTCTAAAAACATAAATAGATGTACTAAAAAGCAATAATAGATAATAAATACTAATCAAAAGCTGCTCTAAAAAGGTGCGTCTTGAGCCTACTCTTAAAAATATGAACGTTCTCTGCGGCCCTGAGCTCCTCCGGCAGACTGTTCCAGAGACGGGGGCCGTAGTGCTGGAAAGATGCCTCGCCGTGAGTGTGTGTCCTGACTTTGGGGATGGTTAGGAGTCTGTTGCCGGAGGAGCGCAGGGGCCGGGAAGGCTCATAAGATAAAAGCAAATCTGAAAGATAAGAAGGCCCAAGACCATTAAGACATTTAAAGACCATTAAAAGAACCTTAAAATCGATCCTGAAACACACGGGGAGCCAATGCAGCGATTTTAAAACCGGTGTAATGTGGTCCCGCCCCCTGGTCTTAGTCAGGACACGTGCGGCCGAGTTTTGAAGTATAGAAGAAGGTCCTTTATTCGTGCCACAATTGGGAAATTTCAGTTTGATGCATACACATCAAGGCAAGCCGCAAACATCAAATCTGCACTCTTTGTAGGCAAAGTGGGTTAAGTGTCTTGCCCAAGGACACAACAACAGCAGACAACAGTGGAAGTCGGTGGAGAAGGTCTCGTGCTGGGCTCGAACCCACAACCTTCCAGCCCAAAGGCCAATGCTGTTGGTATCTAATCTAATGTAAATAAATAAAGAATTTAAAGGCTAATTCATTTTAAAAGTCTTACTCTGTCCTACTATATACAATCATTGAACATAATTATGCTGTACATTGGAAGTTGTCAATGTTTATTATATGACAGTTATAGAAGCGCCACTAGGGGGCGATGTGGGCGTTGAACAAGACGCGGAAGTGACGACATGGGCGCGAAGTGTGAAGTTTTTTCCCCTGAACTGCGTCGCTCTCAGTGTTTACACTTTCCATATTGTATGGATCTTTAGAACACCGTGAGTGCTTCTTCTCTTTTCTTGAGCAAGTGCTGACCTGTTTCTGTCGTGGGTTTTGATGGCGGACCGAAGTCTGGTGCAGGAGCTCCGGCGCTGGGCCACTGAGGAGTTCCATCTCCCCCCGGACACTTTACCCCATGACAGCTACTTTAAAACGTAAGGTCTATTCTCGTTAAGGTTTTTTTTCTATCACTAAAATGTGCTCTTGCAGGCTTTGTGTGGGCACAGGAAAACCCATTTGGCAATATATGATTCATCATGTGTTTCAACAAAGGTTTGATCGTTTAAATTGATTTGTCTTATGTGGTTTTATGTGCTCTAAACAATGTCTCTTTTCAGAAAGATAAAAATAATGCGGGGGAATATTATGTGGTATTCTTTATTTTTATCACTAGATCTTTTTCAAATGTTTTTCCAGTATTTGTGATTTCTCACTTTCTGTTTAAGGTACAACTCGCTTCAAGAAAAAAAGGTGTGTTGCCTTGACCTTTGCCTGGTTGTATTGCTGTTTTAACTATTTTGGTCTATTGTTCAGATGAAAGATGCTGACGGGAAAAGTGAAAACGCCAAACGTAAAGATCTCCAGAGAGAAATTGAGCAACTTGGTGCTGAAATCGCACACTTGAATTCTCAGATCAGTGGCACAGAGGAGCAGCTTGCAACCCAAGGTTAGTTTCTGTGTTATATTGCTCAAGTCAGGCAATAGCACAACAACTTTACAGTTATTTCAAACCTATTTTGTTTTTATAGTTACAGGATGGGACTCTGACTTTTGCATATCATTATTAGATTAAAATACCAGGGGTTGTGTACATAGGTGTCATTACACTTGTCACTATTTGACACTTTGGACTGTGAGTTTATTGGCTGAGTGAGGCTGGCCCTTTTTTTAACTTTTCTGTTTTTGAAATGCAGATCTTACGGTGTTTACATAGGTCAACAGTGTGAAAACTAGTGATGGAGTCAAACTCAGCTGTTGAAATTGCTTGCCAGTGCCTTCAGAAATGAATAATCCTGGTATCGGTACCCTGGCATTTTTAAACGGACACTTTTTTGTCCCATCCCTATTTGAATAAAAAAAAAAAAGACAAGTCAAATGTCCTTATTCTCCAAATAATTACTTGTGGCTATAAAACACCACAAAACCATTCTCTCTTCAAATTGGATTGCTTGTACAACCTTATTGTAATCTAACTTGTCTTCAACAGAGCAGTCGATTGGGCGCACTTGGGCACAGGTGGAGGATAATCGCTGCAGAGGGCTTCTCCTCATGTCCATGACGCAACACTGTGTCCAGAATCGCCAGGAACTTGTAGGTGATACTCAAAACATCAATGGGCACTGCCAGGCTCTTGGGCAGATGACCAGGTATGAGAGCATGGGAGCAGATGGTGAGATTATGAAGAAATACTGGTATTATTATTACTGTTTGTGTTTTTCAGAAAGGCTGAAGAGGAAGTGATGTTTGATAGTAAATCTTCCTGCAGCAAAGAAAGTCCCTATTCAAAAACTGTCACAGAACCACAAGTGCTGGTAAAAGACAATATTTTAAGATGAACCTTTTCACTTACATATTCTGTTTAGGAAGCTTTAATACATTAAATCCAATCATCTAAAACTATTCTCTTATATCCCAACTAGCGTGAAGTGAGGAAGTTGTGCAATGACAGGATCCAGTTTTATCAGTCATTGCAAGAAAGTAAAGTAAAAAATGATGGCACATTGTAAGTACACTTAAACATGGAAGACAAATGAGATGTGCTGAACTTTACACACTTATTTTTGCAATAGAGCACCTCATGAACAGAGGAATTCTGTGTTTGAATACTGGTTGAGTGCAGCTGAGGTGAGAGCTTTTTCTTTGAGAAATTCCCATTCTGATTTATGGTTAACTTTTACTATAACATCAATTGTTTTGTCTAGGACCTGTTGTGTGGGTATCCTCCAAACCATATTCTCTCAGCTCTTCAACATTTAGCCATTTGTGAGCAGAAAGCCCTGGAGGACAAACTTGGCTCATTAGACGTAACTCGTGATGTGACTGCTCTAAAGTATGATAATATATTAGTTCTACACATGTGTAGTAAGCACAGTGGAATATTTGGTTAATTACTGTTTTGAAGGTTCCGCTATGAAGATGATCATCTAAGGGATATCTCTGCAGAGGGAGCAGAACAATTGCCTCCTGTTACGACTCTTTTACAGGTGCAATATTACATCTGCATTGATAAGCAACATATAGTTCCAGTGTGATTGTATTTGTTTTTCAGGCTGCATGGGAGGAGGTAGAGCAAAGTTTGGTAGAACTGGCACAAACTCGAGCCAAGGTGGCAACACTTAAAAACCAGCTAGTTTCCCATAAGAAGAAGGCAGAGCAGGAGATGTCTGTTCTTGTGGATGATCTTCATAATGACTCCTTGGCCATGTATGTCAATATGCCTTGCCAAATTTGTAAACACTTAACCATATTGGTTTGCTTTGATCACAGGTCGGCTTTTGAGGTGGAACTCCAGTGTGTAATACAAGCTGCAACAAGAGATTTTATCAGAGACCGATGCATTCAATTGGACCAACAGGCCAGAAGCAAACAGGAAGTGCTTCAAAACCTCCACAGCCAGTGGCAAAGCATTTTGAACTTCAGGCGATTAGTGGTAGGTTTCTGCTAAAACTGTAGTGGTTTGGTTTGTAAGGATGTTTTTGTCTTGTTTTGTACATGTATTGTTAAATCACCCTGTAATGTAGCTTTTGTTTGGCTGTTAGGATTTGAGACAAGAAGATCTTAGAGGCCTGATTAGGTCCAACTCTGAAGCTAAAACAAAATTGATTCACAAACAGAAAGAGGTATACAAGATTCATGCATGCATCACTGTCACTGTAATATTGCAAATAATAAAAGCAAATGTGAATGTCCTTTTTTCAGTTGCAAGATTATATTCAAAAAAAGTTGGTGCCCAAATTTGACGATGTCTCCTCGGCAGCTATTATAAGAAATTCAATTGCTAAGGAGGCCAAGCAGCTGGGAACTTTGTCACTTCTTGCACTGGACCGTAGAACTGCTAAAGGGTATGAGGTATTTAAATATTGTTTCAAATTGAGGATTGTCTATAACATTTGTGTTTGGGGTCAGATCACAAAGAATCCCAGCATCATGGCTTTCAATCTACCGATTACAGTCGACAATGGTTAAGACTTTGTGCCAGAACATGTTCTTCCCATTGTACAAAGTAAGATTTATTTTAATTTCTTTCTTTTTGGCCAGTTAATCATTCATAGTCAAGTGTAGCTGAGTGTTTTTATTGTGTGGACTTCAGGCTCCAGAGCAGCTCTGTGCTCATGCTTGCTCACGGTGGTTGGAACTGCAGTATGTTCAAAAGTTACTGCACCTTCACTATTCTACTCTGAAAAACACACAGAAGGAAGCAGATTTGTTACATGCATCCGACCAAAAGGGTAATCGTTCTTTCATTTATTCTTTTTAAAAATAAACATTTAGGTTTGTAAATGTGCATGTATTCATGTTTACTGCTATATCTCTGCAGCCTTTCTATCCAAAGTTCGGGAAGAGGATCAGAAACTCTTAAAAGCTTTGATACCAAGAGTCCGCACTCTCACACAGCGCTGTGCACAGGGACTTTCTTATGGAGACCAAGTCAAAATGGCAATCATTTATTGGTGAGACAAAAATGTTTTTTGCTGTATGTGCTTGTAGACAAGTCTGTAATAGATGTAAAATGTTTGTGCCATTTCCTTGTAGGTGGGATCAACCTGCCCAGCATGTCCTACCAGAGATAAATAAAGGAGGCCTGACTTTCCAACAATGGCTACAGAGATGGAAACTGGCAGCCAAAGCCTCTTAGACTCTGTCCAACATCTCTAACGAACATAGCATACGAGCTATTGTCACTTTTATCCTGGGCTTTTGTTTTCCTCAAACCTCTCCTATTTGGAGAAATGTATAAATAAAATGCATTTGTAAAATGATTCTTTACCACAGTTATTTCATGAATGGAGGTTGTTTCGTATTGCCGTGGCGTGGATAGCCTGTTGTTTTGCAGTGTGTAACCTTGCTCTTTGTAGCATTGAAGGGGGAGTGGAACAGTCTAATTCTTGAACTCGCTCCTCCCTCAGCTGCGTCTGCGCACTTCCATTTTTCACCCTTTTTTTTTCATTTTCACTCCTACTCTGGCTTCCGGACGCTAAGATAGACCGCTGCCGCCGAATTTAAAGAGACAGACAATAGTTATTCCGAAAAGGATAAACGATAACCATTGTCTCACGGCTATTCTCTCCCGCTCCAGTGTTGTCTGTATGGCTGCGGCTGTGCACGGACGGGGATCGTAGCAGCTCGTCTGTCACTACTCTTCACTTTTTTCGTGCCTTTGCGCTGTGGCCAGACTGTCCAGCGAGGCACAGCACAGTGAGCCAGCTCTGGCTCTTCCCCGACACAGAGAAAAGGAGGCTATACAACAATCGGAGGTGCATCCAGGCTCCTGCATTAAGTTGCGATACTGGCTGTGAGGCTAGCCGCCCGGGATCATGGCGAAGATTCAGACCCACGGCACCGCCAAGCAAATCAACCAAATTCAAGACAAGCCTTATGTCATAACACAAAAACAAGTGCAGCAGCAACACTTTCAGAAGCTCAAGGTAAGGCAGACCACCGTGGTAGTGCAGCGGTCTCTACCATTTTGTTGTGTTTGCACTGGCTTTCACGCTGTCTCGGTTCAAAGTGGAAAAGGACGCAGGGTTTGCTCGTTGTTGGCCTGTTAAAAGTGTCCCCCGACGAGCTGTGCAATCGTGAATTAAATGCAAAACAGGACACTTTTTACAGTATTGGTGGGAATAATGATTGGCTCAGTTTGCGTGAGTTTCCTGTAATAATCGACGAGTGCAGAAAGGTTTAAGGCAAAGCTGGGTTGCAGGAAGTTCCCCTTTCTCCTGTGTCTGAACAAAGTGAATCCAGGCTAACCAGCTATTTCTACTGATTAGCTGCTTCATTCTGTTGGCTTTGTTGGCTTTACGTCTATTAATGAGCTGTGCCTCCATAGTTTTGCAGGCAGCTGAATCATATGTTGATTAAATGCATTTGGGAGCCACACAAAGCCACTCTGGTGGTTTTAAAGCAGCAGCAGTCCATTGCTCTCGGCTAATGTTAGCTCTTCACCAGGGGCGTAACTACAAGATAACCCCACTTTCCCCGGCAGTGCAGTTGTTTTGGACTAAACGGTATCCCCTTAAAAGGTAAAACAAATCCCAAAACAGCAATGCATTTGATTAGTCATCTTGGTTATGGAGCTGTGTAAAAGTTTAGTGGTGTTGACTTGAAGTGATAGTATTTTGAACAAAATGTTGTCATGAATGTTTTCTATTCTACAAAAAAAAAAAAAAAATGATTCTGATTCTATTGATTTTTTTTCTTCTCTCCATTTATAGGTTGAAGATGCCTTGTCGTATTTGGACCAGGTCAAAAATCGGTTTGCAAATGATCCAGGAATATACAACAAGTTTCTCGATATCATGAAAGAGTTCAAATCACAGAGGTTTGTTTGATTTTGGTAAAATTGCATTTTCTGACAGAACATGTCTCCCTGAGGTTACTGAACAAATTGTCTTGTGCACAGCATTGACACGCCGGGGGTGATAAACCGGGTCTCGCAGCTCTTCCATGGACACCCGGATCTGGTTTTGGGGTTCAATGCGTTTCTTCCCCCGGGGTACCGGATAGAGGTTCCTAAAAATGGGGTGGCCTTTCTCCAGTCTCCTTTTTCACCACAGGTATCTTGTATATTGTCTGTATCTAAAATGTACATCATATCAAAACTCTTGCAGTCTGTCATAGTATGAAGCTGCTGAAAGTCAATCAAAGTAATTGATCAGTACTGTAAATCAAACTTTGACCAAGACTATTATAAACATGTTTTAGCACATGTGTTTGCAAATACTCTCAATAATCCTCACTGAAATCTATATTTTGGTCAATAATCTGTTCAGTTGTTTTATTAGCAAATTTAATGAATGAATGAATGACTATAAAACTACTATATCAGAATCGGAATCCTTTTTATTGCCATGTGAGTAACAGGAAGTCCCAAACTAGGAAATTGCTTTGGCTCTCGACGCAAACAAGTAAAGCAGAATAAAATCTAAGGCGTGCATAAATAAAATCTACATAAATGTCTTCAGTTTACTATATACTACTATTGTCTATTTAATTCGTACTCATGGCAATTGTAGTGGTTTACACACCAAGAAAGCTTTTTTTGAGTGATATAACAACTCAGTATATTTAACCTGGATTTGAACATTGTCAGTTCTGTCTGAGATTTTTGGGAAGACCAGTAAATGTTCACGCAGATGCCTGATGTTCAGTCCTGAGCCAGAGGAGGCCAGTTCTTGAGCACGTTTTAGAGTCTCATAGTTCATATAGCACTAACATGTCACCGCCTCGCTGCAGACAACAAAAGCACCATTTGTTCTTCTTCATAACGATGTTAATGTTTGCCATGATTTAGGTATTACATTATTATTAGTATTAACTGTTACAATAACAGATAAGTTAAAAGGATCCCTTTTGTGATAAGATGATGTATCATAAGATCATTATTCTAGTTAGAAATGGGATTTTAAATCACTTGAAATATTGTGAATAGGGCAAGGCTGTCCCTGGCTCAAAGGGGGTATTAGGAAAATGAACGTTGAAAATTTTTTCCGCTCTTTTGATCTTGAAATATTTGTTGTGAATATTGTTTTGAACATTCAAAACTTGAATTTCAACTTCAAGAACTAAAACATATATTCTATGTAATCCAATTCTGCTTTTTCTGTTCAGTGTTTGAGAAAATCTTAAAATATTTTGACAGACATTTGAGATGGTAATTGCTGATGCTGACTACCTTCTTTAGTACACATTATCCTAGGGCTGAGCAATAAATGAAATTAATTGGATTATAATAATCCAATATGTGAAAAATGTCATTGTGAAATCAAGGTCATGTTTCCTCTGGCCTCTGCTTCTTGGGGGTCTGTAGTTTAGCTGAGTCGTGCAGTGAGTGTATACAAAAGGGGAAGTTCACACAGAAGTGTTTAAAAAAAAAAAAAAAAGTACAACATTGGTTATAGATGCCAGCGACTGCACATTATATGATCCATTCCAATCAACCATATTTCTATAGGTGGATAGGAGAGTCACTTTGTCACTCCTTGTTGTCTTTGCAGGTGTCATTGAGCCAGCCGGGCAAGACCTTGAGTACATTAGTGGTCAACACGACCCCAGCCAGTGCCTCTACCTGCACCACTGAAGCCGCCCACACTGAGGCCAAAGTGGTGTCCACAGAGCCCCTCTCGTCTCCGACCTCCGCAGCTCCCCCAGAGCCCCCTAGCAGACTCATTCTTCCCCTTAGCAGCAGAGAGACTCAGATGGCCACCTCCTCCGTATCGCCACCAGCTCCAGAAACCAGCCCAGTGGAGTTTGACAGCGCCATCAGCTATGTCAATAAAATCAAGAACAGATTCCTCGATCATCCAGAGATTTATAGATCTTTCCTGGAGATTCTTCACACTTACCAGGTATTTTTCTTTTGCCAAATATTTATTCTCGCTTCATATAGGACCAAATATGTTAACAATTGTGAATTAATTTAGCAATCAATGATACGTTTTCAATCAAGATGTTTATTTCGGTGTTAATCTCAGTGTAATTTTGTGCATCACACAATGCACCGGAAAAATTAAAACAGTTTCCTATTGATACATGTTTTGAAAAGTGGGTGAATGAAGCAGAAACTTCTGTTTTACAAAGTATTTTCAAGATCTAAATAATCAATCGATTAATGGAAAGAATAATTATCCAACTAATTGGTTATCATAATAATTGTTTAATTACAGCCCCAACCTATTGGAAGTTTAGTGATGGATGAAATCCTGAAGCTCCAGAATTCCCCCACTGTGGCATGAATAAAGGATCTCTTAATCTCTATATGGTTCACCTTTCGTGGCCTGTTTCACAAATTCTTTTTTTGAGCAATTTTGCCTGCTTTTTTCATTATGCTTCTCATGTCAATCAATCAATCAAAGTTTATTTATAAAGCGCTTTTTCATACAACAGATGCAACACAAAGTGCTTTACAGTTTGGCTAAAAAACAATCCTGCCCATGCCCTCCCCCCGACCGCCCAACAGACCCTCCCCAGACCACAAGCAAACACCCCCCCCCCCCCCCCACACACACACACACACACGCGCACACACACACGCACCGATAAAACAATAAAACGATGATAAGAGACTTGGCAGGGTTCAGATGCAACCGCATGTGCCGCATATTTATTCATATATCATGTAAACACTAGTCTAACTTTTCAGTTGCCTTTCATTAAAATGAAAAATGTTTTTGGTTGCTTGTGTGCGCAGCAGTGATTAGTTCGGTCTGCAGAGCTCTGTATTTTACAGTGTATGCACAGCTTTTGACAGCTGCAGCAGTGGTCAAACCGATGAACAGATTTGATTTCTCCGCGATCACACTTCAACAGTTTACAATTTGTTAGATTACTCTATCACATCAATGTAATACTTGATTACTAAAATAATTTTGCTTCAGCCTGAGGTGAATGTTTTAGTCTCCACTTGTCCTTCGGCCACTATAGAGAATCTTTATGCTTTATAATGATATGGACTTAATTGATCAATTTGTATATTTCTATAACTGTTTTGACTCTCAGACCAGTGTTTTTCTGCCCCTCAGAAAGAACAGTTGGAGGTGAAGGAGAGTCGGGGGAGTCGCAGTAGCAGCGGGATGACTGAGGATGAGGTGTTCTCCAAAGTGGCTAGTCTGTTCAAAGGACAAGAAGATCTACTGGCTGAGTTTGGACAATTCTTGCCGGATGCAAAGAGGTCTCTGGTGAGTAAAGATATTGTCTTAGCAGTAAAGATACTGCTTATGATCTGCATTTATACATGTCTTTACTGCTACATCATATTTGATGTCATGTTCTCTTCAGTTTACTGGAAGCTCGCTGACGGGGGTAAAAGAGACTCTTAAAAGACCAGAGGAAGACGATCTATTAAGCAAACAGAACAAAAAGAGACCCAGACCTGTACTAATGCCGCACATGTCCCCACTCCTCAAGGTACCGCATTGCTCTTTTTAAATGGCTGTATTTACTAAATTGAATTTGTTACGATTAATAATTGTATTTTTTTGTTTTAAGAAAAAAATGAAGTATTCTTGCACCAAAGATCAATCATTTGCGTCGGTTGGTAAACATGGAGTTTTAAGAGAATTCTCTTTCTTTGATAAAGTAAGCTAATTCTTTTGCACTGGTAAATTAAAGATATTGTATACTTTAATACCTTTAATACAACATTGCATTTCTTTAGGTGCGAAGACTGTTTAAAAGCCAAGAAGTTTATGAAAATTTCCTACGATGTATTGCATTGTTTAACCAGGAAGTTGTGTCAGGAGCAGAACTGCTCCAGCTTGTCACTCCTTTTCTTGGGTAAGAGATGGTATTGCATCTGCAGTATTATTGTTCAAATATTGATGTTCTGTGCTTTAACTCTCATCTTGCAGGAAATTTCCAGAGCTGTACTCTCAGTTTAAGTCATTTCTTGGAGACAAAGAACTCTCTCATGCGATCTCTGGATTGTCTGATCGCTACATGGAGGGGGGAGGAGGCAGGGAGGTGGATTACGCCTCATGTAAACGCCTTGGCTCTAGCTACAGAGCTCTACCCAAGACCTACCAGCAGCCCAAGTGCAGTGGACGGACGGCACTGTGCAAGGAGGTATGCTTATTTTTGCTCAATTAAAGTTTTATTCTTCTGATTTTGGCCATTTAAAGAGGTTGTAATACGTGTGCACATGTGCAGGTGCTGAATGACACCTGGGTTTCCTTTCCATCTTGGTCTGAGGACTCTACGTTTGTTAGTTCTAAAAAGACTCCTTATGAAGAGCAATTGCACCGATGTGAAGACGAACGCTTTGAGGTATGAAAATGGTCTTAATTTGAGTGCACAGTATTTGGTTATGTTGCCTCATGTCTGAACTCTTGCTCCAGCTGGACGTGGTCCTGGAGACAAACCTGGCCACTATTCGAGTGTTGGAGAGTGTGCAGAAGAAGCTGTCGCGGCTGCCACCTGACGATCAGGACAGGTTTAGATTAGATGACTGCCTGGGCGGCACCTCTGAGGTCATTCAACGTCGAGCTGTGTATCGTATCTATGGTGACAAAGCCCCAGAGATCATCGAAGGCCTGAAAAGAAGTCCTATTACTGCTGTGCCTGTAGTTCTCAAAAGGTCAGTTTTGTGGTTAGTCTCAAAAATAGGTCTTTTTTTTCTCCAGGGCATCTCTGCTGTGTTATAGTCCTCTTCTCCAAATCTTGCTCAATTTAAGGTTTATCCAAATTAAAGATCTTGGAAACAACTACAACAACAACACAGAACTGAATATACTGAATAGAACTTAAAAAGTCCCCCAAACACATTTTGTGTGGGTCAAAGTAATTCGGAAATTATTGTATACCACTTTTTAATACAAACCTCCTTGATTGAACATGTTTTCTCCAGGTTGAAAGCCAAGGAGGAAGAGTGGAGAGAGGCACAGCAGGGCTTCAATAAAATTTGGAGAGAACAATATGAGAAGGCTTACCTCAAGTCACTTGATCATCAGGGCGTCAATTTCAAACAGAATGACATGAAAGCCCTGCGTTGCAAAAGCCTGCTTAATGAAATCGAAAGTGTCTATGATGAGGTGGGTACAGGATTGGTTTGATTTTTGGTTTTGGTTTTTTAGATGGCTTTCAGTGTGACATAAGTTTGTTGTTTTTAGCGCCAGGAGCAGAGCACAGAAGAGGGTGGTGTAGGGCAACAGGGTCGCAACAGCTCTGGCTCAGCTCCGCCCAGTGAACCCCACATGGATTTCACATATGAAGACAAACAGATCCTGGAAGATGCAGCAGCACTTATCATCTACCATGTGAAACGCCAGCCCACCATCCACAAGGATGACAAGGACCATATCAAACGCATTATTCAGCACTTTGTCCCGGACCTGTTCTTCTCACGGCGCGGCGAACTCAGCGACACAGAGGACTGGACGGATGACGAGCCAGAGCCTGAAGATGGAGCAGACAGAGGAGCAGACCGAGGAGTGTCCACTGCTTCTCCTGGAGCCACAGTGAATTCAACCATGACCTCAGGAGCAGCACCCAGCACTGGAGGACAGCCACAAAGCCAGCCCACGCATCTGCAGAGCCAAGCGCAGCAACAGATGAACGGGGAGTCGAGGCGGAGACGAAGCAGTCCATCCCAGCCCGCAGACGCGGAGACCACCACCACCACCCCTAGCACTGTGAACCAGCTCGTTGTCACCATGCCGTCCACTCCGATGGAGGTGACCGCTACAGCTCCTGCAGAGAGGGTCGACCTGCGAGACCCTGAGGCAGAGCACCAGAAAGAGATGGATGGAGTCTACAACCTTTTCTTTGTCAACAACAACTGGTATTTCTTTTTGCGGCTGCATCAGACCCTATGCTCAAGACTGTTGCGTGTTTATCGGCAAGCTGAGCGCCAACTGCTGGATCACAGAGCTGAACAGAGCCGCGAGAGGCTGCTCCTGGCTGAGGGGCGGAGGGAAAAGGCCTGTGACCTCGCCATGGAGCTCCGCCTAAAACAGCCGAGTAAGTTCTGCCGTGCACTTTCATATCTAAACAAGTCAGCGTGTGGCTAACTGTTCAGCTTTCATTGGTACATGGTCATTTCAGAACTGAGAGTACACTTTTTTATTCTATATACTATAGCGATCACATAGAGCCCCATGTCCTCGATCCAGAATCTGACCCTAATTATTTAGTTACCAGTAGCATACAGCAAGTAAGCAGCACTGTATTTTTAGAGGGAGATCCCTGTGAAAAGAAAGTCCAGCAACATTTGTCACATATTTACACCCAAAAACACATTTTGCCCAAATGTTTTTCGGTAACAATAGCAGAAAACCATTATGGCTTGGTAGACAATGGACCATACACTGGACTTAGGGGGAGAAACCAAATCAGCACAGCTTCTCCAGTCAATCACCTCCCGGAGGCTGGCTTTTCCAGCTCGTGCTGCGTCATCAATGTGAACAGTCGTTTTGCTGCTACTCGAGAACGAAAGAGATTGATCACACTCTATCTAAAGCCATCAGGACATCAATGAAGAAAGTAGTTTGGGCATGTGTATGACTGTCAATGTTCAGACTGTAATTCTACACAGGTGAGGTGGAACTGGAGGAGTACTATCCAGCATTTCTGGACATGGTGCGCAGCCTACTGGATGGGAACTTGGACTCCACTCAGTACGAAGATACGCTTAGAGAGATGTTCACCATTCATGCCTACATTGGATTCACCATTGACAAAGTCATTCACAACATCGTCCGACAGGTACTGTCATTCTTAAATTTATTGGATATTTTATTATGCTCAAATGGTTTTGCTGCTTGGTTTTAGCTACAACATCTGGTGAGCGACGAGGTGTGTCTGCAAGTAGTGGACCTGTACTTAGCGGAGCGGAAAAGGGGAGCAGCTGGAGGAAACCTGTCCTCACAGTGTGTGAGAGCAGCGTGGGAAACCAGCTTTCAGTGGAAAGCAGAACGAGTCATGGCGGAAGAGAACTGCTTCAAGGTCAGATATGTATTTAGGATGCAGTTTTTGCTAGGGCATATTACTACCCATGTATTCTAAATTTAGAATGATTTTTCAGTATGGATGAAGCATTAGTATGTCAGACTACATCTGTGGAAGTTGTGATTTTGAGGTCACCAATAATACGTTTTGTGTTCAAGCAAACCTGTCAGATAATTGTTTAGGAAGTTCCTCGGGGGGCTTACATGCGCATCTTTAAACTCGGCAAAACCGTTAGTTTCTGGTTCTTGTTGTGAACACAGCTACAAATATTATATACACTATACACAAATATTATATATATTATTTATGATATTATAATTGTCTACCCACAGGTGATGTTTATCCAAAATAAATCTGAGGTATCAATGACTATTGAGCTCCTGGACACAGAGGAGGCCCAGGCTGACGACCCATTAGACGTGCAGGTCAGTTACCTACATGTCCTCAGATGGAATGCCTCATGAACTTTTCTTATTTATGCTCATAACTCCACAAATATATTATGTGATGGACCGACAAAAATGGCTGAAAAAAAGGTGAAACCAGGACTGGACCAAAATTAAAGTCACTACTTCTGCACTGGCAGTGGCTTTTTAGTAGCTACTCTTTCATTACGACCAGATTGGTATAGTGCATGACAAATATTTACCCCATAATCCAGTGTGCTGCAGATGTCTACAGCTCCTCCAGAGTTACCACAGGTCTCTTGGTTTTGTTAGCACTTATCACTGCTGCTGTCCCCAGACGGTCTCAGTAGGTTTGCAGTAGGTTTGCAGTGCCATTCTGTGAAATGTTCAAAACATGAGGAATCTGTATAAGCTAACAATGATCACTTTTATACAATGTCAATGTCAGCTGTAATAATGCACAGATTACACTTTGGTGAACATTCAGAAAGCACAAGGCAATTTCTAAAGGTATTGGTTGCACTCAGAGATGACGGGGCTGAAGACATTTGCTTTTCTGTTTTTCTATCCTTTGTATTACTTTGCTTGTTTAACCCAGTGAATTAAAAAGAAATTCCTGGACGACACAAAAAATATAAATTTTGCCTTCTCTTCATAATATTCTGCTACTTTATGTTGGTATTTCACATAAAAAATAGTGCGTAGGTATAACAAGACAAGATGTGGGAAAAGGTCCTGATGTATAGATACTATTCAAGGCACTGTAATAGTGCTTCCAAACGTTTTCCAGTAATTTACCAAAGAGTTGGCGATGTTTACCAAACATCCTTCTTCTATGTGAAATGTTTCACAATAAAATTTACAGTGGGGAGAACAAGTGATCTCTACAAGTGTTTTCATTTACAAAGCATGTAGAGGTCTGTAATTTGTATCAACAGTACTCTTCAACTGTGGATGTTTGTTAAATAATTAATTTCGATTTTATTTAAGTATACTATACATCAGAAAAACAGAACTCACTATTTGGTACAGAAACCTTTGTCCTGTAGCCCATCCCATTCTTGTGCAGGTCTACAATTTATTTACATTAGGGATACCTAATGTCTCTGCACAGCTCTCTGGTCTTTGGAGTTTGTTTGGAGAGTGTGGATAGGTGTCTTTTATAGAAGTAAGGAGTACATATAATGAGTGGAGAACGGAAGGGCTTCTTAGAGGAAATCTACACTTGTGCCCAGCTTTACTCCACCCACATGACCATTAGTGATGTCTGGCTTAAAGCAATAGTTTGCACACCTGAAATTCTCATTCCACCCTTGTTTACACAAGATAATTGTAGATAATTGTATAGCTAGACACCTGAACCTAAGCCACAGAATTAACAGTAATGGCTGTCAACTGATTTAATTTAATGTTAAACCACTAGATTTCGCCAGAACACTCCAACTCGCTACAGGGGCGTGTGTGAGGCTCGCTGCACAAAGCGGCAAACGTCACACAGCACTATAGAGCCAAGGGAGAGGCCAGGCACGACATTCAAATGCAGTGCCACCGAAAATGTAGAGAGGGTGCCACACAGATAAAATCTTACTTTTGAGCCTAAAACTGTCTAATTTGCACTTAAATGTCAAAAATTGACCAGGACATGTAGAGAGCACTCTAAGAAATATATTTATGTAGTTCATGAGTAAAAAAAAAAGTTGATTTGGTGTTTTGTCTTTTTAAAAAGAGGTAACAGGTCCGTTACTGGTTGATAGATGCTCAAATACTTATTCCATGCAATTAATCATTTAAGAATCAGCCACTGTAATAGTCTGCCCTTTTGTTTTAGATTCTGTCCCTCACAGTTGAAGAGTACCTTTGATACAAAGCATGTAAAGGTCTGTAATCTGTAAGTGGGAAAACTTCTAAAATCAGCAGTGTATCAAATACTTGTTCTCTCCACTTTAACCATTTTCTAGATGTACAATATGTTTTTGGTGATATTATAAAACGGTATTGAAAATGTCACCCCCATATCTCCTTCCTTCAAAGTACCCTCCAGTTTAAGGGAATAACGACATTTGAAAGCCTGAAAGGACTGCTGTTTCTTCCTTAGTGCCTGTCAAGCTACATGGAACAATTTGTCGGCACTGAATCCAGCTTGTGTTCACAAGTAGAGGGCTACTTTTTCAAGCCTGTGTTTTTGCCAAGGTAAAATAATAGACAAGAAAAATAATATTTAAATGAAGAATATGGCATTTTAACAGATCTTTTGTCTTGTAGGAATCTCCGTCGTTTCCGTCGATGGCAGGTGCGGCAGGTGGAGGCCATGCGCTGCAGAAGAGAATGGCACCGCCAGCTGGGAGTGGAGAACGCTGGTAGTTTGGACTGTCGCTTCAAACTCAACACCCACAAGATGGTGTTTGTCATGAACTCTGAAGACTACATGTATCGCAGAGGGGCGCTGGTCAAGGCCAGAAAGGTATGTACAATTCGTGGTCCTCAAAGGGCTGCTTTGAGACCACTGCTTTACTGATGTTCATTATGTCTTTGCCAGAGCCTATGACTAACACAGTGCCTGTATAAATTGTTTACAGTCACAAAACAGAGTTGCAGGTAACCAGCATGAACGCTTTGACAAGTGGCATCAGGAATGGCTGGCAAGTCATGTGACTTCCTCAGCTGAGCGCTCTGTGCAGAACTGGCTCATGGGTGAAGACGAGGAGGACATGATCCCCTGTAAAACCACCTGCCTGTCCACTGAGCTTAAAGGTCAGACTGTCCACAGATACCAAGTTCATTACAATAGTAGCAAAGCTCCTGCTTCACCTTAGTGACAGACCTGCATTTAACGGACACGTTAATTGAAATGCATGGACTCCAGGACACCACGCAGCTGTGGTGATGCTTCATTCATTCACTTTCACTCATGAAGAGGCAGCAGTGTAGTGAAATGAATGCACTGCGGGAGGAGCCACAAGGACTTGCACCTGGGACACAGGTGAACAGAAACTGGTGTCGGCTGATATGGACATAAAGGCACAATGGGACTTGCTTTTGTATTTCTATGGTTTTGGTGAACAGCACTATGATTGACAGATCTAAAGGACAATAAAAGGCCGTTATATTGGAGATTATGTTTTGTTCAGAAATGTGAATGTCTGTTTCATTATGTTACTTTTTTAAGTCAAGTGTAGTTTTTAGCTTCTAAAGCCAGAGAGCCTTTTGCCTGTTGGTTTGTGCGTTTATATGGAGAAACAATGGTCAAATGTGTATGTATGTATGTGTGTGTGCGTGTGTGTGTGTGTCCTGCGCTCCTTTTCTTTGTATGCAGAGTACAGGCTGTATAACTTCTAAGTTCTTTTAATACTGTGCAAGCATATATCTATATATAATATACATACACACAACTGGGAGTATTTTATATATGCATTGATATATTGATAAATCAAAAGATCATGTGGTTCTTGTGTTTGCTGTCAACCAACTCGATGGTGTCATTTCATTTTCTTTGCTTAAAATAATCTCAAGGTAACAGAAGTATTTAGGTTCAGTTTGACATTATGTATTACTCATGATTTCACCAAAATGTTTACTTTGCCTGTCTTTTTGCATACTGACAAAATAAAAGCAGAATATCAGTGTTAAAATAGAATGTATAACATTAATCCTGTATCAGTTATAATGAAATAAACAACCTAGTTGTGATTCTTACATTTGAACTTGTCCTTAACTTCAAACGAGCAGGTTTTAACCCTTTAAGGATCACCTAATTTCACTTGCTCCTTCTCGAATTATGATACCCAAATGGAAATGCTTATTGTGTGGACATCTTGTGTCTGATTTTGTGTTATGAGGCCTCATTTGAAAGGTAACACCTTCTAGTTTCTGAAAATGTATGTTACAGTTTGTTAGGAAGGACACAGTCTGCACTACACCTTCTCAAACATGAGTAAAAGTTAGTTTTTTTTGTCAAAAAAAAAGAAGGCAATTTCAAAAGGTTCTCCTGAAGACATACTTTATGGTATGATGTTCAAACTCACCAGAGCAGATGTTTGTGGTGTTGGAAACACCTGTATGAAATTTTAGACCTTTAGGTGGAACTATTTTGATGCTGGGGGCTTTTTTGTAACTAATGGGCACATTCGGCACAAGTGGTCCATTTTTGTGACAACTGTGCCAAAGTGTTTTACATGCAAATTATCAATGTTTTTACACCAAAAATCCATATCATTTTTTGGCTATTACTCTTGCTATAAATAGCATTTTTTCCAGATATTGAAATGTTTACAGAAAAGCTATTATTTATATAGTTATAGCGCGTGTTCTCCGTGAAAAAGGCTCCGTCTTCCTCTCTTACGCATTCAAATATGACGAACAATGGGAGGAAGCTAGAAGTCCGACACATCGCCTGAAACCTGAGATTATTGGCTACAAGATGGTTTGATTGACATCCAAATCGGCCAATGGTAGTCAAGACAATGCTGTCATGACGCACAGATATCTGTGAATGGAGCGCTAAAGCTAGGTGCGCTTGTTTTACTCAACTTACTCTACCTTCCAAACCATAGCACTGAAAAGTCCGGGAATGGGCTTGTTTTGAAGGGGAGGCTTAGGGGAAGACGAACATACCCAGTGACGCTAGCTAAACAGTAAAATGTCCTCTTCATACAGTGCGCAAAGAACAGGTTTTGTTTTTGTTTGTGCAACTTTCAATGCTCAAATATGTTGTTGCAAGTGGATATCTACTATAAGGATGACTTTGAAGAAAAAACAACTGGATATAATTATTCTCTAGACCCTAACGAACAAAACTAATGCACACATGTGTGGATTAGACGTGATTTGCCCCAGAATATTAGCATGACAAGGTAAGAAAGGACAATATATATTTTAAATATATATACAGTTTGACTACTTATTCTTACTTTTGGTTATATTTAATGTTTATTTGAACATAATGCGTGTATAGAGGTGGGAATAAGCTTTCAAAAGAGATATAGCTTGACTATATTGACACAAGTGAATTCTAATACTGATGCTGTTAAATGAAAAATATCTGAATCCTCCCTGTACAGGGAGGGTGATCCTTAAGAGGATGTGGGACATGGTGCTTTTGCTACTGATAATGGAGCCCAGGAAGAAGAGCAGCTCAAGATGGATCCACGTAAACCAAGCTGAATGTTCTGGTTCAAACGGATGAATGAAGGAAAGCTAAAACTATTGGTAGATGAAGCTCACTTCATTGTATTGTGGAATGTTCTTTTGCAAGTTTTGTGTGTGTTAAAAACAAAACTCAGACAATGGAGCATGTTTTAAAAATAATTGGTTTATAAAACCCAGATATGATAAATCACCAATGTGTTTACAGAAATACAAATACCATCAGGAAAATGATGCTAAACAGCATTTTACACTCACATGTACAAACTACTATGTAAAAAGGACAATGCTTTAGTTTTATGCCTTTTAAAGTGACATATACACACAATACATTTTAAATACTATAATGTATGTACGTCCCAAAAACATTTACCAAACTACTCTATTACATGTATCTAATTACAGACTACAACTATAGGAGAAGCACATGAACCATTCCAACACAAGGGTATTCGCAGGCAGCGAACACACATTCTCTATGGGACTTGTTCTTAGGAACTATACAAACACAGTGCAACCGTGTCCTTCAGAAAAGAGACATGGTCACTACACTTCTCCAAATGCTCAGTCAAAGGGGTCAGTTCAAGTCTAAACAGTGTGTGGTGTTGCACAGAGGACACAACGAAAGGTCATGCACAAAGCACATGGTTGGACTGCTGTGACCAGTGACCACCTTCTGAAACACAGATCAAATGACCAGCATCATATTTTACACTACACTTCTTAGTGTAAGCTTGTTTTCCTTTTTTTGTTTTGTTTACATTAACCCCTACAGTTTTACACAAATGAAAAAGTGCAGGATTGTGAATAATCATTTGTTTTCACAATAAATACTGTATTATGGCAACAGATAGTAGTCCTTTCCATATTACAATGGCTACAATGTTTGCAGACATACAGATCAATAAATTAGGTTGTATATACAACAAAACAAAATATTGCATGCAGCAAGACAAGTCTTTTTTTTGTACAAAACTATGAGTTTAGCTCAATACTTGTCCTCTCTGTCACTGTACATCAGTGTGAGCATTTTCATGGGGCCTTCTAGATACAATCACAATGACAGACACAAGCACCGGGGAGGTGACTGCAAAGTGTCCCTACAATTAAGAGCGAATGAGCAGAAAGAAACACATCTCTAAAAACACAGACTATTTCTGAAATGGTACAGAATAAAAGGCTGACCGATACATCTTATAGTTTGAAAAAAGTAAATAAGAATTTGACTTATGGCATGACTTTGCAATGCCAGGACACGCCACAATTATTATTTTTAATATCACATTTGTTTGTGCTGTTTTGACATAATTGAGCGCTGTCACTGGGTAACAAGTTGCATTCTACATGAGCCACATTCATTCAAAATAAAGCTTTGGCATTTAATGATTGAACAACACGATGTTGGAGGCCGCTTTACAGACACACAAACTCATGAGGTCTTAGTTTAGTACAAAACGTGGCACAAACCAACAAAAAGATACAAACGTTATAAAACACATTAACAATCATTGTGTGGATGCGCAAACTAGTTTAACTAGTATCAACGTCACATGAAAAAGTAGTAAACGAGCATGAACAAGTAATATAATATAGAGGATTACAAAGCTCAGACACATTGGAAAAAAATCCAAAGTCTTGTATGCACTGTCCCTGCGCGTGTCAGCAGGTATGGGCTGATTATTGACGAAATTCAAAAGATTAAACCAGAAAATATGTTTATAAAATATAAAAGTATTAATAAATTCATTGTTTAAATAAAAAATCCTGATATGCGATTGAGGTCCAGTGTTTCCATTGTCCTTTAATTGGCATTTTGTTTCCAGCTGAATATGTTTTAGATAAAAGCTTGTAAACAGTTTTCTGCAGCCTCAATATATGCAGTATTTTATTTTTCAAATAAATCCAAAAATACATTCAAATAAACTGCAACATTTTATAGCAAACAATATTGAAAAAGTCCAGTAAGAAAACGGAAGAGGGAAATCCCAGGGCAGTGTGGCTGGGTCTCTTCCCTTGTGCTTCAGAGCTTGAATGTTGTGTCTATACTTACGAGGACCACCGCTCAGCCGAGTGTATCAAGCTGATTCTCTTGTTTTACATTTGAAGTTTTAGATTGTGAGGAGTCCTCTTAAGTATAGCCTCAATGTGTTTCTGTGCAGCTTTGAACTCAGCTGAAGGCCTCATCATCCGTGTCTTCAATAAGAACCTTTGTGTCTTTTTTAGATCTGAAAATATAATGAAGTTCATGCAACAAGTCAGTGCAGAATAAACCATGTACAATGTGTGTTGCTTACTGTGAAGTGGACAGCTGGGGGCGCCGCAGGGTCAGACTGTGAGACCTCTTCCAGGCCTTTTTGCCAGAGCGGTTGCGAACTCCATCTTCCTGGTCCATCATCTGCTCCAGCAGGGTCTGGTCGTCTGCGTTCAGTGGAGCCACAGAAATATCTCTAACGGCACGGAACTCACCACAGTTGTTCAGGTGCTCGTTCTCAAGGCGGAAGAAGTTCCAGACGAAGCGTCTTTACAAAGAGAAAGTCATTACATGTGAAGGAAGAGAGTCTGGTCACAATTATCACTGTCTCAACATCGTTATCATTATACAACTGAAGGATAAATCTCTCCCCTTTGCAAAAGGGGAGAGATTTGTGAAATAATGTTTCGCTGTAGAGGGCTCCCAGTTGTACTTGAAAGTTTACACACCCAGACATTCAGTAGATTTCATTGTTTTTGTCAATACTATGAGATTGTTTTGATAACATGATAACGGTTTCCCTCTTATCATTAGTAGTTGTGTGAAGCCATTTATAAATCCTTGCATGAATTATCTCAAATTGAGTTGATGGAAGGCAGCCCAGGAATTTACAGGAATCAGAATTTTTTTGCCAAGACCAATGGGCAGCTTTACCTTCATCCACAACTACCAAAGAAGACGCCACGCTGTCATAGATCTAAATCTAAACCTAAATATCTGTCTGGGGTTGTGAACTGATGTTTATATTCTTGGACAAATGAGAAATGATTTACTGAAATAATTATGTAGTGAAACTCAGAAAATTAGAATGACGTTCAACAGTACTGTTGACTCTCACTTCTGTGAGTCAACAGTACTTCAACAAACAAAGGCTTGGCATATGTCGGTTTGCATGAAATGCGTCTATATCACATATTGATTTCACATTTTAAATTGAATTACAGAAGCAAATTAACTTTTGAACGATATTCTAATTTTCCAAGTTTCACCTGTATTGTACTTTTATCAGCAGCAAATATAAGTTTCTACAGAAACTACTTTTAGAGTCCATCCAGATCCATCTATCCAGACGACCAAATCAACCTTGTTGGACTACAGAGAATGTAAGCATTTGTCGCAATAATATTCAGAATGATGTTGTGGGTTATTGTGACAAGCATGGGATTGACCAACCTAAAGACTTCCAGAGGTGCCAGCACCGTGGCAACAATGTCTCCCACAGAATGGATCTTTGTCATGGTGGTCAGGCAGATGGTGATGATCCAGGCGAAGCGCAGAATCACATCTTCTAATATGGCACAATAGTAATAAGCCTAAACAGAAGATCACATTGGATTAGATTACAGGCCACTGCATAGGCCAAGCACACAGGACAAGGGCAAACCTTATGAGGATAAACTATTTCTTCTCTCAGAAAGGTGTTTTCTCCTGCTCCGAGGTCAAACAGACCCCAGTCCATGCGCAGGTCCCAGATAAGTGTGTAAATGGAACTTATGGTTGAGAAAATGATCAACATGTAGAAGAAAGTGTCTGCATCGGTGTGGCCTTGATCTGAACGAAAACAACAAAAGATTATGTCAAATATTATTTCAACAATATATTTGAACAATGCACACATCACACCACCAGAGGGAGCTCATCGAATACACAACCAGGAAATCCCATCAGAGCGTTTAATTACCTCCTTCGGCACTACCACTTATTAATTACAATCTTTTGATAAATCTGATTAAGATAATCTCGACAATTAGACTGCCATCTGATTAGAAATACCCAACTCCTCACCAAAGCCTTGTTCTCACATTCCCAGTACTAACAAACTGCTGCTCTTTACTGTTCCTCTCTGAGCACAGAATGAATTTGAATGATTTTTAAAGTAACATTATGTGAATAAATCAGTTGACAATATGCCATCTTTAAATTATTAGAAAACATTTTATCTTTTACACACAGAGAGCTGGTTGGCTGAGTGAAGGCTGCTATACAAATATACATCTGTGTAACTATAATCTAGGACTCCCTTGAAAAAGAGGTTCTTAATAGGACTAATGGGAAGTAGTAAGTAAGTAGTAGTAATCTTTATTTATATACCGCCTTTTCACTGCACATCGGCGTCTCAAAGCGGTTTACAATTGTGATTTTTTTTGGGATTGGGGGTGCCAGTACAGGAGGCACATGCCAGACCTATTGTACATATTTTTAGTGGTAGGGGAAACCGGAGCACCCGGAGGAAACCTACGCAGACACGGGGAGAACATGCAAACTCCACTCAGAAAGGAAATAATGGTTAAATACAAAATTAATAAAATAATGTAATACAAACAGTCAATTCAAACACAATTATTTTGATTGTGTAAAAATGATAATTGAACAACGAACTAAGTACTATTACTTTACTATAATATATAAAGCTGGATCTCCTTCTGTGTCCGCTGGTTAGTCTCGTCACCATGAAAAGGTTAAATATTGAGATGTTCATTGATTGGATGCTCAGTTGGGGCCACACTGGTCACTGGTCTTTGTCACCCATGGTAAACGGCCCCTGCCAGAACTGGTGTCTGTAGGCAAACTATATAGAGACACTGTATGCGAGTTGTGAGTAAATGGGGGTGAATTTGAGTTCACCTAGACACAGGAACAGTTTCTTTAATCTTCATTGGTTTAACATGTGTCTGGCCATTTGTCTCCCCATAATGAAGTACATGAAATTAAGTCGTTAAAGCTGTCAGCTCTGGCTCATCTCCATGCAAGTCATGTCCATTCGTGTGTTCAGAGCGCTGCCGGTAATTACTGCTTTCTGATAAAGATAACATGTGTTAAATGTTATGTGTTCAGGATGTTGAGTGACTATCAGCCAAAGACACAATGCATTTATCAGTCACTCAAGTCATGAGACCGAAAGCACTTAGTTCCTTAATTTGAGTTGCAGGAGGAGCTCATTTTCTCTCCTTCTCCTCCTCAGAATGTAGGTTAGAATTATGTTTTACTGCATGAAATTAGTAGCTAACCTTTTAATTCACTTCTCCACCATAGACTTTTCCCCCTTCTGGCTGTTATGTTACAATGATTTATGTCACAAAGGCAAACAATGAATAACATCATGTATATAATTAATTAAAGCAATAGTTATTTGATACTAATCAACAAAAAGGTCATGATTAGTAATAATTGTTCAAAATACCTCCATAAAATAAAAAAAAACCCACACACACTAATTCAAAAGATGACCAATAAACCTCTACACATAAAATACTGGACATTATTGAAATTTTCATCTCGTTCTTTTCTTCTCCTAATTGTTAGCCGGCGGATTAGCATGAGCCTCTACCCCATTTTAAAAACAAATTAAAAAACCTTGGCAAACCCATATCTGTTGATCTCTTAACTCTAGACTCCGCTCAGTCCAATAGATGACAGTGATTTATTGGTTATATTTATGGTATTTGACTTTCCAGGATCTAAATACGAGTTGTTCCTGGAATGAGTGAGGTCGCCCTAAACAGCTTCTGTGTGATCAGGTTCAGAAATGAAGGTGACACTGCCTCTGGGAAACCTGCCAGGGCCTGATCCACCCTCTACAGCCGCCTACAAAATATACCATGAAATATTATTTATGCACTGATAGCTTTTACTACTGTGAGTTTACGAGTGACACATATGCAAAGCTGAATCCGATCATTTCAATTTGATGTATATGAACATAACACTTTAGAGATGGTCATGGTTATGTAGGTTCTCTCTACAGATAATGTGACTAATACATCAACAACGATTTGGTGAATGTGCAACTAAATGGGTTTCAACTTCCTGTTTCAATATTGTGTAATTGTTCTGGGTAAATAATGAAGTCAATGTAAGGTTCAACAAAAAAATATTAATTTGGTTGACAACTATTTCAATAAATAGATTAGTTGTGGTTAATTGAGCGACTTGTACCAGCCCTTAATTATCGCAATGAAAAGATGTAATATTGTAATTGCTTATCGCTATGGTAATAGTCCTAATTTACCGTCATTTTGAGATCCCTGACTAGCTCAATAATCTGTTTTCAGTGTCTTCCTCCTCTGTCTCCAGTTAAACAGTGACCTGTCTTTGGCTCCATTACCATACACGATCATACAGAATTACACATGAAGACAAACCATTAGTCTAAGGGTCCACCGGCTTCAAACCAAAGAGGAAGGAGGATATGGTTTTAATGGACAGCTTCCCTGAAGAGACGTGGTGGGAAAGAAAGCGCTCCGTCTCTCCAGTGTCTCTTACTCTTCCTGGATGAAGCCATATCAGATCTTACATTATCAGCATGCATGGGAAAAATATCTATGGATTTGAATTCAGTCCAGACAAAATATATTGCTGTTTTCCAGTAAGTAATTTTTATGACAAACACCGTCAATGCGGAATCGACAAAACTGAACCATCAAAGGAAGCATTTACTGCGCAGCAAGTGTATGAACATGAATGCTTTGCTGATGTGGTTTTCTGGCAGCGATAATGACATGCTAATTACAATCCACCAGACTGAGAGTGACTGGACTATGAATATTTTTCCAGTTAAATGTTTTGGGGTTTAAAAAAAAATCTGTCTGATGTCTGTAATGATATGTCTGTCCTCTGTATTTAGCCTCCTGTCCTCGATCATACACACACAAATATGTTTATCCATGACTGCGCATGTTCTCGTTTCCATTATAAAGCTCGAGGCACTAATAAGAAAGCCAAGGACAACATCTTTCTGCAGCTCAGGGTCACCTATTGCCTGCTTAGCACAAAAGATCTTCTCTTGTAACGCAGCAACAAAGAGCTTCAGCTTGTTGATTCTTACAAGGTCGACCGCCTCTGAGTCTGAGGGTGAAGTTACAGCCACTTTGTGAGCAGTGGACACAGTTCGTTATCAATTGAGCTGTTTTTAAAATGAGGTATTATGGTTGAAGCGTCTCAAGATGTTATTGTCTTTGTGCGGTCCTTAGAATATCCATATATTATTATTAGGCCTGTTGTGCAGTACTGTTGCAGCCTGAGCATGGCTTACCTCTGTGCGTGGCGTACAGAGCTGCAAAGGTGACTACGAAAAATGTGGTGGAGTATTTTCCGGCGTTGACCAAATGTGGGAAGGCCCTCTTGGTGTCACGGTAACGCCTCAAGCACTGAATGAAGCGGAGCCATGCCGGCAGACACTGGATAACAGCGCGCAGGCCGTACGAGTAGCTGTGACAGACGTATTCATTAGGACCTGGAAAAAAGAAAAGAAAGGCATCATTGTGTTGAGCCTGTTTTGCTAATGCTCTGCTTTTTATTCCCTGTGAGCCTGGGACTACATTCAAAGACAGCTTATCATTATGGCAGTCGCACCATGACCTTTGTGTGACCAACACTTCTGGTGCATTTGCTTTGTGCTAATTGGCTGCATAGAGGCCAGAGGGACAATGCAGCAACCGGAGAATAGCAATTAAAATGTATTTTACCGTTCATCGATAAGAGGAAAGCTGAAAATGTCAATAGAGATTTGTCTGAATGGATAAGGACAGGGTCTTACTCTTAAATTTGGGTAATAGCCCATTGTTGTTGCTCCATTGCAGCTCAAATATGTAGAAACAGATGAGATATTCCAGGTCCATCAGAACAAACACCAGAGAGTTGAGTTGATCAGCGAGCCAGAAGTCTGCGAACTCCACTCTGTGAAATGGAGCTGTGAAGACACGGAACTGGGGAGAGAAAATTAAAATATTTGAATATGTGATACTGTCCGTTCTGGCATTTACATTGTATAACTGAATACAATTTGTAATAATATGAACAATTAATACACTTTTTGGAGATCTCCATCCACATTGTATTTTCTTGTCGTCCTGGACCTGTGTGTGTGTGTATATGTTTCTTTTTTAAATATTGCACTTTGAAAAGGAAAAAATAACTCTCGAACCCTGCTCTTATGTTTCTGTCATGGAGTCAGGTGTGCAAAGTTTTCCGCTTTTTAAAGATATTACACTTGAAATAAAAAGCATCATTAATGTTTAATATCTTGAGTTATTACTGTCCAGGTCTGAACAACGCTCTGTGAAAGGCCGGCCTTCTGCACTCACGCCCAGGGCTGCATTTGACATTTGGGCGCGTGTGCTTCTATGCAAACACAGCGATGGAAACCCCTAAACACTTACTTTACTGAAAAGGCCACTCTGTATTGACCGCTGTATTGCTGCGAACCTGTCAGTCAAAAAAAATATTGATTTCAGCTGTATCTGCTCATATAAAGCAATCTCAAGGCTGGAACGGTAAGCCCACTGCAGTGCTAACGTGAGGTTTTCATTTCTAGAGCAAACACATGTAATCCTGCTGGACCTTCACTTTGTCCAACTGAAATATCTTCTATCTTTATTGCTGTGAATTGATCCACTTTTTATGGAAGATGGATTGAATTTGATCAAGAAACAACACAAGATGTAATCACAGCAGCATTTTATACCTCACTGTTTGCCATATTGAGTAAGTCCTCATTATTTAAGCCCGGAAACTACTAAGAGCCACACCGTTATGTTAGAGCGTGGGCAGCACTGTTGATTACCGACTCAGGCGAGGGGAGGGCTGTGGAGAATAAGTGCTTAGGAGCTATAAAGCGTAGGACATGAGTAGAAGGAGGTCCACGGTGATGGGGGCAGCACAGGGACACATAGTGATGGAACTATAGCCATAATGATTGCACAGTCACAACCGCAGCTCCCACGGGACAGGGATGCATTCTATTACCCCTTCACCCTCCGCCCTGCGTCTCTCTGCACACGCGCACGCACAATGGCCATCCCGCAGGCTCAGACAAAGGACAGGACGCACGCGACATGTAAAGATGGTATCAATTATGGCTCAAAGCAGCGTGCCAATCAGAGAAGACACACCCGCAATTACGAAAAATGGAAATGATGTAGCATAAACACTTATTTTTGACAGCGCTAACTCATAGAAATGAATCCTTTTGGCAATAAAAATGCAATGTGTGATCGTTTATGATATATAATAAATAATAAGGGGTATATTATGGTCAGAAATAAAACCACAACTTCAAGAAAGTGTACATATGAGTACCTTGCACACATATCCTATAGTAATACGACCATTTATTCTATTGGAAAAGATTCACTGCAAACATTCTTTAGATATACAAACGCTTGAATTTTTTTGTTTTATATTTTCTCACAGATCTCTCAGACCTGAGTTGTGGAACACATTATGACAATTTGTATAAAAGATGAGATTTTTCATTTTGAATGAAAAAATAATGCGTGTGCCAGACCAAGAGACATTATGCCAAGTGATTAACATTTTGGTAAATTACTTTGGCTTATTTTTTATTTTTGCAAAGAATTTCAAATTATTGCAGTCTTTTTGCCGTAGTTTTACACTTTACTTGATTACTATACATTTTTATGATTATACTTTTTATTTCATTGGTATAATGCACCTAACCCTAACCAAGGGAATAATAGAAACTAGTGCCGTGGGGGAGAGGAAAAGAAAAAAGGGTTGTAAATGTAGCGTGATTTTTTTTTTTTTAAACAATAATAAAGTAATCATAAAACATAAAAAGCCCTAATACATTACTTACTCTATGCACAAATCTATCTACATTCTGTTCCGTGACTGACCAGTAATTTGAGAAGCCAGAAGCGTGACTTGTAGTAGCACGTCTTGAACGGGTTGATGAGGAACAGAAACATGAATCCGTAAAGAATGAGTGGGTTTATCTGCATGGGGATGTAGGTGTACTCCCAAAACAAACAGGACAGGATGCTGACACACCACAGCACCCCCAGAAATCCAGCGATCTGACAAAGAAGAGAAAAGATTGGAACGTTGCAGAATATTTCCCCAGGATATTGACCTATTGTGTGTGGGCAACAGGTCAGACCTCAAACAAGTGCTGGTGTGAGAGGTTGTTTCGGGGATTGATTTCAAAGATGAGGACGTGGTTTACTCCGGCCTGTCTCCAGCCGTATGTGTTGATGCCCAAAAGGAACAGGAACTGTATCAGGAGGAATCCGCCCCGGTAAATCCGCACCAGAGGCCAGACATTCTCATATTGAATGAACACTGCACCTGAATGCACAAAATTAAAGACATAATTTTATTGTTGCAGAAGCATTTGTTATTGTATAGCAGAGAGGTGTAGGGTCAGCACGTGTTTGGGCCTGTGTCCTGTGAGTGTGTGAGTGTGCTTTGTGCCGTGCTGTCTGAATGAGAGGGTTCGAAACATAGAACATTCAGTATATGAGGAGTGGACTGAGTCTATATTGTTAGTCTTCAAACGGAAGATAAGTACTTTTTGAGGGGGAATGTCAAGAAAAAGGACACAAATGTTGTCGGTAGTGCCCTCCGAGTTACCAAGCACCAATCAGGAGCAGCGTGGTCGGACCCCGCTGCTGCTACTCGCTAGCTAAATCCGAAAATGGTAACAGAAGGCATCAGTTCTGTTCAGTTGTCAGTTATTACAGCTTTACAAACACAAAATCCAAAAATATAAACACCAGGGTCGCAGAGAGCACTAAACCACTGATTTTTACAGCCCAAAATGGTGTGACACTGGTTACTGAACTAGAGAAGTTTACTTGCTCAATATAAATCAGTAGGAGAGTGAATTGGAGGAACATCCATGTGCACTTCCCTTTCATGCTTCATTGAGCTAGTGGGTCAGCATTGTCTATATTCAATATACAGTTGGAACAGAATAAACGTCTGCTTCGTCCGATCCCCTTTTCAAACAGTATATTGCTGTTTTATATTGTTGTGGAAAAAATGCATATCTCAACTCCTGTATATCTTTGTAGTAATGATCCATGTCAGACACCAGGTGAGTCATTCTCTTCTTGCAGAGGGACAAACATCTCAAAGCACTGTGACTTTTTGTCACACCTCATGTATGTAATTCAAATTTGAGCAATAGGTGAGAAACGATCTCCTGCAGAGCGGCGACAGAAGGGTCTGTTTACGGGTACAGAAGTAACTTGTTGATGACATTAAAATTAATTTCCATCACAGTATGATGTTTATTGTTATAAAGATATGCCGTACCTGTTAGAACAAAGGCAATGGCCAGAATAATGAAGAAGCCGCAGAAGAGGCCGACTCGGAATGTTGTCCAAGCCAAAGCAGGCTGAAAAAGAAATTATCAATAAATTATAGTTGCTAAACCAAAGCAGATGCAATTATCTCTGATAGGATTGTTTGTTTTTTAAGTAAAAATGACTATCTGATGCCAAGTATTCACATCGCACAGTTCAATCTGGATATGACAGTAATTAATAAGTTCATACTGATGCATATGAAAAGAGAAGGCCAAAGTAGCTGGCGATCTTCATTTCTAAAGGATGTTGCTTCTTTGCAGTGATGGAGAGGCACTTAGAAAATCAATACCAAAGGCTTGTATAGCTTCTTGCAATTTGCTCTTCCTGGCTTTCCGCAAATGCCAAAGTTCCCATAGTTCTCCACCAAAGGAAATACTGGTCTGAAAATCCATATATGCATGTTTCTATTGTTGAAATATCTTGAAAAACATTATTATTTTTGTTTATTTTGTGGTGTGTTGTAGATACAATTCCAAAACATTGTGTATTCTTAAAGCTGCAAGCATAGTCCATCTTCTTGACAAAATTCAGATTTTCTGGAGGAAAAGAGTCCGGGCCTAACTGGCACTTGGCCTCTTTACAATTTGATAATTTACTTACATTCACTTAAAAAAATACCTGGTCTGTTGAGATACACAAAATACATATTTTTTTTAAATGTGGGGTTGACCAGCAATAAGCTCTGAGTTCTATAATCGTTTAACCCTATGCTATTACCTGAGCAGCACCTAGTGGAGGTACTCTGAGCCTTTTCATGGCCTTCTGACGATCCCCTCCCTCCAGTTCTGTGGTGACCAGTGTCTGAACACAAAACAACAGTTAGTACATATGTCTGTGTGTGTGTGTGTTAATTATATGTGTTTTTGGCCCCACCTCTGTCTCAGAAATAAGCTGTGTGATCTTCTTGCAGGTGTAAAAAGGAGCCACCTCCACATGGGCCACACGCCAGTCCGCCCCTCGAGATGTGTCCAGGATCTTGTCATGTTTCTTTAGAATCTTTCGGAAACCTGTGAAGTTCAGGTTCTGTGGAGGGATATAAGAGAGAAGAGCTTGGGGTTAGACATAGGGCTCAGTATCTTTCAGAGCCTGCCGCTACTCTATGCAATATCTATGCTAGATCTATATGCAGGGGACTTTTGATACTGGATATTGTGTATGTTTAAACTTATAGTCCAAGTTGTGGCTTAAAACAAACCAAAGTTTGTGACTATTTGTTATCATGTGAGTGTGTGAGTTTGTGTGAGTGTACAGACATCTGAATGTGGGACTGTCTATGTTCGATCACTGTTGTAAATAGCTCTGGTTGTTGATAGTGACTTTGACTTTTGTATATTTAGTATGGTGGGGAAAAACTCAACCAGGGACAGGAGTTTATAATCAGCATTAGCTATACACTGCATGCATGTGTCGCATCAGTTGCTTTTTTTTTGCTGTATTTTGTTGTAAATCTAACCCAACATTGTCTCAATCAAAATAAAACTGAAGTAAATAAATGATTCCATTAATAGATTTTTTTATATGATTCAAAATAAATAAATACTTTTTTACGGCTCACCGCTTTTTTTTTTTAATATAAAAGATCATCTTGGAAAAATCTATGCTAGTCAGACCTGGTAATTCTGTAGCAGGATGAGGCTGAGGTAGAACTCGCTGAAGGCCAGTTTCAGGTCTTTAATGTTGCGGTGTTGGCATCGTTCCTCCTGGGAGCGGTGGAACATGGTTTTCCGTCTGCGGAGGCCTGGAGGGGTCACACTCTCCCGCTGAGCATCCAGGGACGACTGCAGCTCATTCTGTAGTGTGGCCGAACGCCTCTGGGCCTCAGCCAGCTTCTCTAAAGAAGCACAAAGGTTTTAAACAAGGATACAATATTTAATGCAAAAAGTCAGAAAGACAAAAAAATGCTTGAATTAGATAACATTTTTACTCAATTGGGTAGATTGTCTCAAACTTAAAGGAGACAGATAATTCAAAATTGAGCATTTAACTCTTTTTATCATAAACAGAAGGTTCATCCACTTTGATAGCTTAAATTTCTTATGAAATTGAGTTTTTACCAATAAAATGGTTGTTTTTGCAGCTGGTAATTTTCAAATTGGGTGGTGGCATTGGGAGCTACAGGCAAGCATTTTTACACTTCACCATATATTTTCTACTTAGGTATTTTTTTCTAAAACATCAAATGGTAAATAGTAATTATAATTGTTAAAAGCAAATAATAATGCTTACTATTTAAAAAAGAGTGCTTCTGCACTTGAAAAATGGTTTTTGTGATATTTTAAGACAATCAATACTTTTTTAAACATTTACAACCTTCAAGGTTATGTTAATATTCTTGCAGTGTAGGTGTAATGATCTTGTAAGATTCAACGAGATGAGCATAGAGTACATTTAAACCTCCAACAGTGGTATTTAAGTATTACAATTTAAAATGTATGGATTATTCCCAGAAGACACAAAGCAGAAATAGACCAGGCTAACAGCTATCAGACATTTCCTCCAGCAGGAAGTATTCAACAATGGATTGAAGCCATTAAGAGTATGTAAATGCTGCTGTGTAAGAAACGATTATCTGGGTCATAGTGAGGTTAATTCAGTGAACAGAAGAGGAAGGAGTGAGGACAAACATCTACTTAAAAGCTCATGCAGAAAGACTGCCACTGAAATAGGCCTAGTGCAATTGAATAATGTAATATCATCAGCCTTTTAAGAATTCAGTATCAAATGAAATAGAACTTTAGCCCCTTTCAGTGCCCCTAGAACAACCCATAAATAAACGCTCATGGGATTCTTCACTTAAAGCTGGGGAACACAACTTTCAAACCACAAAACATTTAACCATGTATGAACCAACTTGACCTTTGAGGAGCACAGGGACGGAACTCATGTTAGTGCCCAGAGTCAGGACTGAACATGGGGAGGCTGCATCACAGATTCATGCAGCTAAAATCTGGAATAATCTTCCTGAAAATATGAGACAGGGTCCTTCTCTGACAATGTTTAAATTCAGGTTAAAAACTGTTCTGTTTATCTGTGCATACAACTGAGGGATTTTATATTTTTATCTTTCTTTTACTGTACTCCGATTATTTATGCTTCTTTTTTTGTTCAGCACTTTGAGTTTCCTTGTGTATGAAAATGCTCTCTACAAATAAACTTGCCTTGATTATGTATAAAATAATAGTCTTTTTACAATAACTCACCATTGCATAAAATCCATAATTTAATAATACACATTCATCCATCCATCCATCTATTTTCTTCCCCTTTATCCATTTCCATATCCACAACGACAGCAGTCATCAGTGGGAGTCGTGAAGTAGGTCTTGTGGTGAAACCCACGACCTTCAGGCTCAAAGGTCAATACTCTACCAACTGACCCACTGTCGCCCCCCACGACAGTTAGAACACATTCAATCCTAGCCTTGTCTCACAATGCCGAACCAAAATACTAGCTTTGTACAACTTCTGAATTTATTTGTGAACCATGTTTAATATCCTGACGCAGGATCCTCTTGTGCACACTGGGGACTTTTGCAGATGTATTCCAATGTGGTTTTACTGCATATGGCAAATAAATGAATCTGAATTTGATCTGAATCCTCTATAATTCCACCCCAGACTGATATACAAAAACTTTTGCTAAAGCTGTAAAGCATGTAAATATTGCTGTATTCTTGTTGTATAAAAAGAAGTAAGTAACCATGTTTTAATAATGGAATGTCATAATTTACTTGGCTGACTTCAGACTTAGCTGTGTAAACCAATAAACAACAGTAGTTAAGATAAAGAGATGCTTTCGTGGGGAAATTGTCATGAATCATACAAATAATACACACAGTATATTTGTGTGAAAATAAATCAGTTTTTTTCCCCGACAAAGCTGTATCCAAGTGCAGATGAAAGTGTAGCCCAACAGGCAGATAAGAGGGCAGTGCAGCAGGCCGCCTCGGAAAGGTCATGGACCCCTTTTAGAGTGAGCTACAAAGGAAAATCTCAGTGTGGAGGCAAGTGTTTTATAAAAAGTCAGCAGCCATTTTATCTCCATCTCTGCAGCGCTGTCTCTCGACCCGACCACACACAAATAGAGGAACTGGCACCAGATAAAGCTGACTGTCAGACAGCGCACTCACATTCACCTCCAGTGTGCAGAGGATAAGCACGAGGAAGATACGACCACTATGTGAAATCACATCTTTACAGTGGATTATTGAGGCAGGATTTTATCAACTGTATGGAATGAGTCTGTATATTTGTACACACCTCTAAAGCTTTTACCTAGCTCCTAGCCATGGACGTACAGTGCCTTGCGAAAGTATCCGGCCCCCTTGAACCTTTCAACATTTCGCCACATTTCAGGCTTCAAACATAAAGATATAAATAAAATATTTTTTGTCATGAATCAACAACAAGTGGGACACAATTGTGAAGTGGAACAAAATTTATTGGATAATTTAAACTTTTTTAACAAATAAAAAACTGAAAAGTGGGGCGTGCAATATTATTCGGCCCCCTTGCGCTAATACTTTTTAGCTCCACCTTTTGCTGCAATTACAGCTGCAAGTCTCTTGGAATACGTCTCTATCAGTTTTGCACATCAAGAGACTGGAATTCTTGCCCATTCTTCCTTGCAAAACAGCTCGAGCTCAGTGAGGTTGGATGGAGAGCGTTTGTGAACAGCAGTCTTCAGCTCTTTCCACAGATTCTCGATTGGATTCAGGTCTGGACTTTGACTTGGCCATTCTAACACCTTGGATACGTCTATTTGTGAACCATTCCATTGTAGATTTGGCTTTATGTTTTGGATCATTGTCCTGTTGGAAGATAAATCTCCGTCCCAGTCTCAGGTCTTTTGCAGACTCCAACAGGTTTTCATCCAGAATGGTCCTGTATTTGGCTCCATCCATCTTCCCATCAATTTTAGCCATCTTCCCTGTCCCTGCTGAAGAAAAGCAGGCCCATACCATGATGCTGCCACCACCATGTTTGACAGTGGGGATGGTGTGTTCAGGGTGATGAGCTGTGTTGCTTTTACGCCAAACATATCGTTTTGCATTGTGGCCAAAAAGTTCTATTTTGGTTTCATCTGACCAGAGCACCTTCTTCCACATGTTTGGTGTGTCTCCCAGGTGGCTTGTGGCAAACTTTAAACAAGACTTTTTATGGATATCTTTGGGAAATGGCTTTCTTCTTGCCACTCTTCCATAAAGGCCCGATTTGTGCAGTGCACGACTGATTGTTGTCCTATGGACAGACTCTCCCACCTCAGCTGTAGTTATCTGCAGTTCATCCAGATTGATCATGGGCCTCTTGGCTGCATCTCTGATCAGTCTTCTCCTTGTTTGAGATGAAAGTTTGGAGGGACGGCCGGGTCTTGGTAGATTTGCAGTGGTCTGATACTCCTTCCATTTCAATATAATTGCTTGCACAGTGCTCCTTGAGATGTTTAAAGCTTGGGAAATCTTTTTGTATCCAAATCCGGCTTTAAACTTCTCCACAACAGTATCTCGGACCTGCCTGGTGTGTTCCTTTGTCTTCATGGTTCTCTCTGCGCTTAAAACAGAACCCTGAGACTATCAAAGAGCAGGTGCATTTATACGGAGACTCGATTACACACAGGTGCATTCTATTTATCATCATCAGTCATTTAGGACAACATTGGATCATTCAAAGATCCTCACTGAACTTCTGGAGTGAGTTTGCTGCACTGAAAGTAAAGGGGCCGAATAATATTGCACGTCCCACTTTTCAGTTTTTTATTTGTTAAAAAAGTTAAAATTATTTGTGCCTCACTTGTTGTTGATTCATGACAAAAAATAAAAATTGTATATCTTCAAGCCTGAAATGTGGCGAAATGTTGAAAAGTTCAAGGGGGCCGAATACTTTCGCAAGGCACTGTATTATAGTTCTATGCTCCTAGCCCTCCAAACAGTTAGCTTCAGCACTAGATTCAGATATATGTATTGGCCCCTGTCACAGCTTTAGCACCACTTTTCAAGATGAAAAAGAAAAGTAGACATAGCCACCCTTTCTCAGCCAATCACCCAATGGAGCTGGAAAGTGGGCGGAGCTTAATGTCATAAATCCCCATTGAAATTGCAAAATATATTTCTTATAAAAGATTTCAAAAGTGTTTGGGGGTGACTATCTGGTGATTCATGACCTCAAGATTCACATAAATATAAAACATTCATTTATAATAATAATGTATCATATAATGCAGGTCATTATCGTAAAGGGGTCTGCTCCCGCTTATTATACGGCTTTGTCCCAACTGAACACACACAAAACAGACTTCAGTCCACTTTTATGAATGCCGAAAGGTTTATTTAATGACTGCAAATAAAATAGTTCCTAAAGCTTTTCCCATGGCAGGCGAGTAACAGTCAGGCAAGCAACTTTAAAACTAGAACGCATGAAAACGGAACATTCTGAACATCAGCGGTTAGTGGCCCAAATATAAACTCAACCTAAATCCATAATTCGATCCTCTGCAAATGTGTCCTAAAATGTTTAATTCATGTTAATGTTTATCGCTATCGCTTTTTGTCACATTAAAACAGTATTTTTGTCATGAAAACGTTAACAGTTAAGTCTGAAAACCTGCATGTGTGTTACGAATGTATATGTATTATGTATTCTACGTTTAACATTTAAATGTGTTGATTGATGGATATTGGTGTCTATTGAGCGTGGCTAGCTCCGATAGCTTCTCTCACAGAGACAATAGTAGCGACAAAGTTGCTGGACTACTTGCGGAGAAATCTACACATCTGAATTACAAGCAGGGGGTGCGTTGCCAAAGGGCAGCAGTCATTATTATTTTGAGAGGTCAGTTCTCAAGAAATAATGACCGGTAGAACATTTTGAAATTACATTCAAGTCAATGGAACATTCCACTGCTGCTGTGAGGAGCCGTGTGATAAAGACATGTAATGGTGTTTATATTGTCCGAAATCACCGCACTGTGTATCGAAGTTAGCAGATAACTATAATTGTTAGCCACCATCATGTCATTAAACTCTTGATATTTGGATTATTTGAAACTATTATGGGGATATTGAATGGGGAATCTTGCTTCCTGAAACCTGAGCTCTGCCCATGTCTCTTTTCTAAAGGTAGGCCAAAAATGTGTTCTAATAAGACAAAGGCAGGACATGTTGTCTGAATGGTAGGGCCGGGCGATATGGCTGAAAACTATATCACGATAGAAGTCATTCATATCGGTCGATAACGATATATATTGAGTTTTTTTTTTTACCTAAATAAATATATTTGTCGTGTGGGCTAACCAACCTTAGCAGCCTTGTTTACAGTCACGGGGCGATGAGGCTGGAGGAATATGTTCACACTGTGTCCCTCGTTGTTAGTCCTGGTTTAATCCTGGTTTTTTATTCCTGGTTTAGCTGTTTGAGGGTCTTGTGTCCCCGTGACCGCTCCGTGCGGCTCTCTGTGCCGCACATGCTTCCCGAGAAAAAAGTTAATCTCTTGCTTTTGCCGAATACATCGGGTCTGTCCACTGCCTCTGCCGCCGCACATGTTATTCCGCGCACGTACGTGCACAACCATTGACACGGCATTGAAACACGAGCTATAGATCCATGGACGCCACGCATGCTGCGGTTGTTGTTGTTTTTGCATTTCCCACAAAGTTTTGCGGTTCCTGCTCGGCTGTTATTGGTCGAGAAGCCTCTGCCTACATCCCCCACAATGCCATGCGCTTATGAGTCGGCTTTACTTCCGGTGTTTTCTTCCTGTTTTTCCTGACAGAGTTAAGTTAAACTATCGAACATTCTATCGACCCCATTCTCTATTGATATCGAACACATGTCTAATGCGATATATATCGTTATCGTTTTATCGCCCAGCCCTACTGAATGGTAAACAAACATAAACTCTTCTGTGACAATAAAGAAAATATATTCTTTATTCAAGAAAAAGGTTATGTACACGTCCTTTAATCTATAAGTAAACTCAAAACGGCAAGTGGAATGAGCCTCGTTACTTGACAGACAGCGCCTAACTTTGTTATATGTTAAAGCACAACCGCTAACAGGCCAGTATGAATCTTACCAATATTGCTTTTTTCGTTAGGATATTTTTAAACACACACAAATACACATAGGTGTAAGACAGAAACCTAGTATTGTGTACTCTCACGTGTGGACTACAGTCATCACACACTTCCAGAGAAACAGTGAGTGGTGCGCACACTTGAGTTCAACCCGACTAAAGAGCAGAGGATCAGGCAGTTAAAGTGGATTCAGAGGTCCTCCAATGAATGAGGCCGGCTGTCTCCAAACATGTCTCCAAGGGAACGAACACCTCTCTCTACATTGAGATTGCCTAACAGGACTTTTCAGAGTTTAGAGTAAGAAACCCATGTAATGTTGTGTCTAGGCCAGTGCTAGCTCATAAATCCAGTGTTTGTGGACTCTCTCTTCACCACTGGTCATTATATGCATCATTATGAGCGGAAACTCTCACACACTTAAGCTTGTCCTTGGGTTACCCGGACAAGGCTGCAGTTTAACTAACAGCCTATAGGGGGCACATATAAACCTCCCCCTAACCCTGACATAGGGTTCAAGAGCAGTGGGCTCTCTCCTGGCACCAGAATACCAGAATATGTAATAGCCCAGGCTCATATTACTCAGCAAGTCCCCAAGACCAGAAATACACACTGCTTTTGCCAGTGTCCCACACTATCAACAACTTTAACACATTTGGGAAAGAAAAACAAGAGGATTGACTGAAGCTTGATAAATACTCATCACAAATGTAATCACTTTTAACTTGATTAAATGACTATATAAAGGCTGCTTATATCAATACAAACCTGAATAAAATGTGTTGATTTTTAAGAGTTCCTTCTCGCATGTCTGGAAAAAGCTTTCTTCAAACTTGGCGTAGTACCTCTTCACGGTGTCATCGTCCGTGACTGAAAAACAAGAACACAAAGACAAATGTAAGAAACAGAAATATATTTCTTATATCTGACATAAATCAGATATAATTATGCATTTTCTTCAGTAACACCATTATTTCTATAAATGATCAATTTTCATATTTCATTCAAGTATAAGCGTGGTATAGGAAGAACAACCATGTAAGAACTGATCAATTCATATTTGAGCTTTTCAAAATTTGCTTTTATGATCTATCCATAAACTAACCAGTTAATTAGGGCAGGGCCTGGTTAGTACTGTGATGGGAGACCTCTGGTAACACAGTGTGTTAGCTGCAGCTTCATTTTCTTCACTAAGAGTGTGTGAGTGAGTGCTGGTAGTCGGAGCAGCAGTGGCTCCTCTAGTGGCTTATCATCACCATGTATAATGCCATTTGAAATGTCTTTGGGTGTCCAAAAAGCGACTTTTCTATGCTTTAAACATTATTACAGTGCTATTTAGCCTTCATACACGTGCCCGAAGTAGTCTTCCCATTGATTCCCTATAATTATAGAGCGTTCTTTCTCTTTCATTCATCAATGATAAGCACAAGCTGGAGAAGCCCGCCTCCAGGATCAGCACAGCCTCTTTCTCGAGTCTCCCACAGTCTATTGTTGCAGACTAAAAGTGTCAGCATCATGTACATCGGAGAGAACGAAGAATGCGGCCAATGTCTATTGACTTTGTTCATGGGATGTGACCCGACGAATCGACGCAACAAATCTGTTCAGCTGCGAGTGATACTTCACCAAAGACCGCTTGTTTACTGTGAAACTGGACAAAAGCTGCTTTTGAAACCTGGTGTTATTCCCACAATAATAGAGCATAGATCTGTAAGAACAATGCAACTAACTCGTCGTGTACTAGGGCTGCACAATATATCGAAAAAATATTGTCATTGGGATATTTTTTTGTGCAATAACCATATCTAAAAGATGTGCAATTATTTTTATATATTTGTTTATGCTTTTTTTGTACACGCACTGTGACTTCAGATTTACAAGGCAGGACCAATCACAGAAACAGGTTATTTGCAAGTCATGCCGAAAGATAGTTGCTACGTCGAAGGGAAACACAACAATCTCCAGAGCCACCTCCAGCACAGTAACCACGAGGAACTTTATGCTGTGTATTTACAAACTAAAGCTTCTCCGCCTACTCCAGTCAAACGAAAGGCAAATGCGCAAAAGGGCATTAATCACAGTTTTTGGCAACTTCAGGCAAGATTTGAGGTTCATATCTGAGCCATACTTAATTAATGTTGTTATCTTGCGGTTCAACGCAGATTGCATTTTTAGGTGAACGACAAAAATATCCCCATAATATTGTTATCAAAACACTAAATACCCAAATTGAATATGGTTCTAATTTCCAATATCGTGCAGCCCTACCATATACTACTGTCAACTAAATAATTAGGGTCTGTTTCTGGATTAAGGACATAGGGCTCAATGTGACCGGTCGCCATTGTTGGAAAAAGTTTATTCTCAGGTCTGAAATAACTATGTACCGGCGAAAGCTGAACAGTTTGCTTCTCGCTGACTTGGAATAAATAAATCAACGCGAGGCTACATCACCGCGCGGGCTTTGGGAGACAGGCTCACAGGCGTAGAAGCACAGATCCAGCCGTTTCAATTGAGGTGACATCACCTCTAAGCAAGAAATGGATATAAATGTTATGTTTTGATTGTTGTAAGGTGTATTACCAAAATTATTATCACACATGTACTTAGGTTTGACTGTGAAAAATGAATGCGAAATATGGGACATTTAATATTGTTGTTTTTATTTTATCCTAATATGAACTGGGAAAATGAGAACAGGGGAGAAAGAGCCTTTTAAAGTTGAAAATATGTTGTCATTTTCCAGCACATTAGTTCCTGAAGTGAATGAAAAGTTCAACTCTTCTTACTACTGAAAACATCCAGACATGCAATTAGATCCACAACTTCCTCCCGTCTCTGGGAATCAGTCAGGCCAATTCAATCAGCATCGATGAATGTCTGAGAGAGTCCTTTGCCTTTTTACTACAATGAGCAGGTAAACCAACGGCAAACCCTGTGAATATCTCATAAATGCATTTACAAGCTCAAACTGTCAGCGCTGTGAAGCATAAAGCCAGTGTAACTAATGAATGAACGCAACCAGGCACAATCCTAATCCTCTAACATACTGTATATGTCTTACTGTGCTATTCTTCCATTGAGCTGTAGTGATGCAGAACAAGCTATAAATGCCAGCTTCACCTAAAACAGAATTAAGTGATTCTGAGCGGCTGAGAGAGGTTTTTCAAGATAAAACGGCAATGCCAGCTCAGCGGTGATAGAGCTCGTAAAGCGTTAGCTATTATACAGAGTGAGTCCATGAGACGAAGAGAGGCCTTCAGTTCAAGTCAGTAATAAAAAAGGTTTGCCCCGGGCGTCGTCTGTCAATATCCGAGCCTCGAGTCTGCTCCATACAAGCCCACACCTTCAGCTGCATGAGCTACACCCACAGCTTACAAGAAAAGTAAATTACCATTACTACCCGTTAACGTCAGTCAATACTAACTTAATTAAGGTTAGGTGACTTTGGGCGTATGGCTAAAAATCTGCTCTTACTATTGCACAGAACAGCAACAATACAGATTATACTATAGCCTAGAATGAGTCATTTATAGTACTGGAAATAAGACTTGTAGCATTTTGTTAAGTGTTCACTATTTTAAGCCTCACTCTGTTTATCCAGGCTTGGTGCAGGACAAGTATAAGAAGATAAGATATGAGAACCTTTATTTGGGGAAATGTCTGAGTTGGAATGTACATACAGAACAGATTAAGGAGCAGACAAGGAGCACACAAACCATGCTTTAGAGACTGTAGTATAAACAAAATACTGCAAAACCTCTAATACAAGTCCCAATCCAGACTATTCTAAACACATTCACAGCACATACATACACATATACAGTACATGAGGGGAAGGGGCTGTAGGGGGTGTTTCATTTTGGGGAGTGGGTAATAGTGTCCAGTTCCTGTTAATTTCTGGGCCACCTTGCATGAACTCCCCAGAACGATTCAATAATCATTTGAATAAAGGAAACATGTTTTTTTGACAGTGCAAAGCCTCACACAACTACTAACAATGTGTGAAAAAAGTGTTTATGTTATAATCTATCTCCAAAATATGGCCAAAACAATGATATTTCTGGCTGGGTGTGAATATTTTCAAGCAAAAGTGTATATTACATAATGACATATGACTAACTATCAATGTTATGTCTCTGAGTAACATTATTCTGTGGCTTCTACTCATTCCCCATTCACTCTTAGGCCCAACCATGACTGAGTGGGTTGGCCCAGAAGTCTATATTTGGCCATCTCACAACTTTGCCACTCCTTCAAAAGAAATGCATGCATAAATGTAAAAACATACATTCATTAATTCATTCATGTTCATCCCCTTTACTAAACCATTTCTGGGTCGGGGTGTGGCAATCCAATCTCCGACCCAATCTTCATAGCACCAGAAATAAGACTGGTGGTGGATCCACAGGAGAATGGTTGCATGGTTTGCTTCAGGCAAAGTGGGGTTAAGTGTCTTGCCCAGGGACACAACAACAGCAGGTGTCAGTGGGAACAGGTCTTGAACCAGGCCCGTAGACCAATGCTCCACCAACTGAACCACTGTTGCATAAATTAATAGTGTTAATTTGTTCAGTGTATATTTCATAAAATGTACTTTAGAGTAATGTTTTCCATGTAAAATCACCAGTTCAAAGTGTTGGTCAGAAGTCACAGCTGACCTCACTATAGGTCAGCTGAATAGCAGGGTGCCTGAGCCATCACTCAGGCATTACAACGTGAGTAATGTTGCAGTAACATACGGCTGGCAGATGCACAACCGCTCTCTATTGTAATTGAAAGTAAAAGGTTGCACCGTTAATGACTGTACAGCATGAAGGAAGAGAGCCACTGAAGAGGGAACATGATAACATCACCTCTGTCACATGCTTAAGGGCCTGCATTGGTTCTATTTATTATCTTGATTAAATTCCTGCAAGATAGTTTAATAGAATGTTCTCTAAAATGTGATTTTCACATTTCTTTTTGGGTCAGGACTTGGTGAAATTCTTCTTGTGGCCCAATGTTATTGTAAGCCATGTAGTGGGGCCATCGAGCCTTGAGTGGATACAGGATTATTAAAACATTACTTATTACTCTGTTAACGTATGAGGACAGAAAAGACAGGTCTATAGGGGTCACTAAGGCCCGTTTAGACGGAGACCCTGCGGATATGCTGTGGAGACGCTGCAAAGCAATTAGCAAAAACGACCAGGCTCCTTATTTGAAGTGCGCAGCGTCTACACTGCGACGGAAAACGATTCTGCATTTAAAAGCAGCAGCAGAAATGGACACTGAAACTAGAACCTCGCGTGGTTTCGTTTGTACGAACGAAGGAGTAGGATCCTCCTCCGTGTAACGCTCGAAGCACACGTAGCATTAGTTGACCCACCGCCGTTGTGGTTTACGTTTGTTGTTTTTCACCCCCCTGAAAGGCCAATCCGACCTAACTCTAAGGATTTACTGTTGCAGCGTCCTCGTGTAAACGGCACATTAATGTCACAATTGGACTTGAATAAACATGGAGCGGATTGGCCTGCGTGTTTCACAGGCTCTGCCAGCATGTCACACCTCAAACCTCCTGTGGGGTAGTGGCAAAAAGCACATTACCGGCACCTACAAAAAATTTGAACCAGTGGCTAAGGGAAGGAAATTTGATGTAGCCATACTGAGCTCAGTTGGTAGAGCATTGGCCTTTGGGCCTGAAGGTCGTGGGTTCGAGCCCACCGTAAGGCCTACTTCACGACTCCCACTGATGACTGCTGTCGTTGTGTCCTTGGGCAAGACACTTAACCCTACTTTGCCCAAAGCCCCAACTGAAAGATCTCAGCTCCTGTGGACTCACCACATGAAGGAGGATCAGTGAGGGGCTGGTGCTCTGTGGACTGGGT